CGGAAGAAAAAAAGAAATTGAAACCTTGCTGCGCGTGTCCTGAAACCAAGAAAGCGAGAGATGCATGGTGTGCAACATATAATTCATAAATTAAGTATATAATAGGTATAGGTATAAGTATAGGTTAGGAATGTGGTGTCTTGTATCTCATAATATACATTAAATCAGATTCTTACTCATATTTTAATGTATTAATTATTGCTAGTAATTCTTACGCACTCTCTCTTCTGACATGTTATGTTAAAAATTAATTTAAAAAATTCATTTTTGTTTTTTTATAAAGTGCTATTGTTTATGGAACTTTTACAAAATATATTTAATATTCTATCATAAAATTATATTTAATATTTTTTCAGCATCATAGAAAAGGGCGAGGAAAATTGTGGAGATCTTATAGAAGCGCATAAAACTTGTATGAGATCAATGGGATTTAATATTTAATTAAGATATAGGAGGATAATAAATATTTTCACCAAAAATATCTTTGCTACCAAGATATTCTGCAAGAAATCTCGAAAATATTTGAATTATTAACATATATACATATTTATGTATACATGTTTTTGTAAATAATTTTCTTTCTAGAATTACGATGAGAATAAAAACAAGTGTTATGTTTCTTCAAAGTTGTGCAAATTTCACATATTGTAGATAACTTGATTGAACAATTCTCATCTTATAGACAATTTTAAAGAATATGAAATAAATTATTGTAATGACTAATCAATGGAAATTTAATTGTTTTTCCAGCAAGATTCATCCAACTAAATATATTTCCTATCTAGATTTTTGTTTTGTAAGGTATATATATATTAATTTTAATTTCCAATTTATATATAACAATATATATATATATATATATATATATATATATATATATATATTTCTTTTATCTTTAATTTCAAACCCTGTAATGGGATAGGAGCAAAAAGACAAGCCAAATGTTGGGAATTCTAACAAAGCATATATTTTAATTTGATGTGTGGCTAATGCGAAGGTTTTAGTCTTGCATAACAATTCCACAGCTTGGTTTCCCTGAACACTCCAAATAATGAACAGATTCTTAAATCGACGTATGGTGGAATCCAGTATTATAATAATAATTTATCGTTTCTGACAGTTTTTAAAGTCAGTCAATAATATTATTGCAATGTGGTCCTACTGGATTGAAAGACAAATTTACATTTGACCGGTGCACCATAAATATCGAAGCTATAAAACAATGACGTGACGTGAGCATCATGTCTTCGTTAAAATGGTCGCAAATATATTTTTTTAACTATAATAAATGGACCTTAGATATATATCAGTACAATTTATGAAATATGATAAGAGTAATATAATGATAATAATTTACTAAGTCACATAATCGTCAAGTGTATAATATAAATAACAAGTAAATGGACTTTTTGTTCATCTATCCTCTCATTCACAGCGTTGCGTTTAGACTTACAAGCTAAGACATAAGTAGCCTAAAGTCGATTGAATAATTAAATAGAATATTTATAATTAATATGAAGTAGTTGTACTTTATGTGTGTGTGGGCAAGTGAAATACGATACAACGAAGAATGTGCAAATGTGTAATATGTGTGTATATGTTAGTATATAATATATATATAATATATGGAAATGCGCGATTTTTAGTCACTTTTGCAGACACTCCAGATTTTTTCATAGAAGCGTTTTAGCAATCAAAATGCGTCAAAGAATATCTTTCGTATTGTTATATAAAACTTGTCGCAAGGTATATATACTATACGGCTCTCTCGGCACTTTTTCTATTGACTAAAAGTCGACAACACTTTGATGAACATCTTGTCACAAATTGTAGAATGTAGAACGAGACAAGTGCTGGGAACACCGCATTGTTTCTGGAGCGTTTTCAAGAGTGTATCTTGTTAGATGTATATGAGTGATTAGCGTCGTATTAATAACAGCATCACAGCTACGAAATTTCCTCATTTTCCAAGCTCTGCCATGATTTTTTCGATGAAGCAACCGATTGGTCGACTAAGGATTAGCACAGCCTGTTCGGTGCGACGAAAATTGAGCAGAACATTTTATAGACAAGAAATGACAATCGATTTAGCACTTTTCTTTTCTCTCGAACTTTTCGTTACCGCGAATCTGATAATTTCCTTCGCAGATTATCACACGCGCATAATATGGCAAATTTTTATTAAACATAAGAACTTTCTCTTCCGTTTTTTTATTTTTTGGAAAAAATTACATGCTCGAACAGCGGCGCATCGCAAAGAGCTTTTTTTGATATTTAGATATTAGCTCCGCGAAATTGTCCGCAATGTTGCAAGTTTCGCGGACACAACGATTCAAGGAGTTAGTCCATTATTAACGGTTAGAGAAAGAGAGAGAGAGAGATGCAAGAATATATTGTTAAATAAATACGATCTGCAACTACTACAATGGAGTAAGTCTGCTAGCGGTAGAAGAACATAGGACATCGCGATCACGCGGTAACTTTAAGGATGTCGAATAAGATTGGTTTGAGGCAGTAGTCTATAGTCTTTACCCGAGGCTCAATCGTTTCTCGAATTAGCAATTCTCACCTGTCTTGAGGAACACGCATTGATCGTAGTACTTTACTTTGCTGAAAAAAAAGAGAAAAAATAAAAAAATGTGTGCATTGTATATATTATCAATAAATAACGAGATAATTCACAAAAGCACCTATATTACCTGGTATTGTGCCTCCGTATCCATAGTGCCGATTACAGCTACAACTTGATACTGTCTAGCCTTCATTGCTGCGGTAGACTTCCGTACAAGCCTCATCGCGCCGGGTGCGCTACTCGTGCTATTGAAATGTGCCATTTGTGCTGGACTATGACTAGGATCCAGCACCAACATGGTTATTGAACCGTCTCTCAATTGTTCCACACCCATTATCGTTCTGCTATGTCCTGAATTTATTAATGTTGAATATGTCAATAACTCGATGCTTTAATTTTAGAAACATATAAGAAGAATAATTACCTTGATGTTGAAGATAAAGAGGTGGCTTAAAGTCTTCGCATCGTTGAAAGTATTGTAGGACCCAATTAAACAGTTCAGGATGGCTGCCATCCACGCTAGTAGGTCTATGAAAATCCACCAGCTGACATCTGTACGCAAAAATGTGCATTGTATAACTTGATAATAATTGATTGAAGCATGGAACTTACTTTATCCTCAAACTAGATAGTAGCGTGAATACTTCCGTCGCACCGATCCACTTCCTAGTGTTAACAAGTTTACCGCCCAGTTGTTCAGCACCCTGTATATCGAAGCCTTGGGCCCACGCCCACTCAATCATCTTTTGTAATCTGGAAATCGATGGCATAGAACTGCGCAAGGGATTTTCCGTGGAGCTGTTGCCACCGGCGCCGGAGCTCCATGCTTTATAAACTAGCTCGTTATACCCTGTGTGCTGCAAGAGAGATGAGATTAGCATCTGCATATTCCTGTAACCGCACCCCCAACCCTTGTCGCCGTAAGTCGACGCGTAATGGTCCACAGTGGAACACATCCAGGTATTCACTATGTTACTGCAGGCTTGACTAATGGCTCGTACTTTCGGGACCAGCCCTGCAAGAAAAATCATATCATATAAAGATTTTTAGAAAGACTTTGTTTTTTGTATAAAGAATATAATTGCAAATCATTTACCGCGTGTACAAGAACTGCCATCGTCGATGCCGCTACTCTCGGCGACCCTGAGTTCGATTTGTCTCTCGAAGAAATCAGCCACCGTCATTTCGCCTGCATACACAGCCCGCTGCATATTAGTGACGCTTTGTTCTCTGAAATTACCCTGATTGTCCATGCCATACTGAGCTCTCAGCATCTCAAACTCGCGTTGTTCGCGCAATTTTCTCACTTCCTTTTCCCTTCTCTCCATATCTTTTGCTAGCATTCTATCGGTTGACACATCTGGTGTCACAGGCGACGGTGTGCTCTTCTTACTAAAGTGTTCATCGATGTGTGCCATTAGGTCGTCATTATTTTTAAATAATGTACTAAGACATACTGGGCAGGCAGGTGTTGAATCACTACTGATGGTAGCTGTATCGGATTGTGAGGTTGTTCCATTTGCAGGGCTGTTAAAAATGAAATATTTATCATATAATTTTGTATCATTAATTTATGATTATTTCGTATTTTCATATTTAAATATTGCAAGCAAGTGAATACATCGTACCTAAGTATATCCTTGTGCTCAATATTAACATGTAACTCAAGATCAGAAGAATTTGGAAAAGACGTAACGCAAAGCGGGCAGTTAAAGATTCCATCTCGAGACGGCGGAGACTCTGGTGGGAAGGACGGCGAGGTGAGATCAAAGTGTTGGCGATTGATATGCTCTTCTAGTCTCAATGGACTGTCAGAACTGTAGGGGCACATTGGGCACTCTTGTACTGGAAGTTTTGGGGAAGCGTGTGAACGCAGTTGCAGATTTAGGCCTGAACGCAGCGGTGAACCTTGACCAGCTGCGCCTTCCAACACTGAATAAAAAGAGCCATACGTTTATATTCCTTGCATTCCATGCACCATTGAATATAATTTGAACAGTATTCGTTACCAGCATTGGCATTGTTACTGTTGTTATTGTTGTTATTATTATTCATGTTGGGATTCGCCATTTGAATGTCTGACTTCCTTGGTGGCATTTGCTGCTGTTGTTGCTTGACACGCTGCCCTAGAGAGCTACCCCAGCCATTCTGCAGATGAGGCGGACGCAGAGATATGGATGGCGAGGGCGCCCGACATTCGTCCCGCCTGTTGTGCTCGTCCATCAGCGAATCGTCATCGATGAACGCCATCATATCATTCTCCGGAGTGCTGTAAATAAACAAAGCATTAATACCATTATATTGTTATTGCAGTGTAGCAACAAAGGACAATATTTATATACAAGTGAGCGTGGATACGAGAGGATAAAAGACACGAGAATTTATACGAGAAGTGTTTGTACTGTCTGCGAAACGCTTGTTACATTTTCGTCGAAAAAGTCCATTTTTCGATGCGACGTCGCTTTTTCGCCTTTTTCCACATGATTCAAATTGGATCAGCTTTCTCCTCTTGACACTCGAACGTTTCTTTTAAAGAATTTCATCGAGACAAATTCGACTGCAGCTTTATTAGATTCACATGCGAATATATCTAAGATATTTGGCATGATACCGTTTTCGGGCAGGTAATTTAAACTTAGTTACAAGTCACATGGCTCTTTTGGAGATTCAATGTCAACAAAGTTACCGACAATTCATGGATACGTCGGTAATTTTCATCCACGTGTCGATAATCATAGAATATTTTGCGCTCGCACGTGCGCTTGCGAATGCTTGTTGGAAGCTTATATCTCTATAGTGAAATTATTTATTAGTCAATAAATAATAATTTTATATATATATATATATATATATATATATATAATTGTCTATTGACTACTATATACATAAATGTGTAATTTATTGTTGCAAAAGTAAATAAGAAACGATATTTTTTGTTTATATTAAAATTATTTTTTACGAGATATTAACTTTTAAAATCATACATAATTCAAATTACTGTTAAGTGTTATTTTTTGACTAATTACAAAAAATCATTAATATCATTACTATATAGATCTAGTCCTGGACTATAAAATTTCCAGTCGAGATTTATGGAACTATAATTAACTGAACAAAAAAAATAGTTATTATTAAACTCTTTATTTTAATTATATTTTTGATTTTATTGAAATTTAAATCTGTTAAAAATATTTTATTTATTTATTCAATTTTTGGTAAATGTCTTGTGATTTATAATTAATTGATTTGATTTATTATTATCATCTTTATTTATTATTAGGGGAAAAAGATAAAGTCAGAGGGGATTGAACGCGCGCAACAACTACCTATTTTTGTACCAGACATGTTATAGAACAACAAACAAGGAAAGAATGCGGATAAAATTGGGTAACTAATGTTTTTATCTAACTTTAGGGAAAATATATCTCTTTTTATGTATTAGAATTTTTTAATATATCATAATATATCATATATTTAATATATCATAATATTTTTCGTGAAAGTAAACAAATAACTAATTTGTTTAATCTATTCGTTTTTGCTTCACTTTTCTCTTCAATAAAAAAAGATAAATATACAATATTTATAAAGATTAATATAAATTAAAAGAAAAATGTTACAAATTTTATAGGGAAATTCAGATTGTATGAAAATATAAAAAAAAGCTAAAAATGATAAATGATGATATATATTTGTGTATTGATGAGTGTACCTCGGGGTCAAGTAATCCAGGTGAGCGCTGTTGACGTGGACCAACATCTCCGTAGGCGAAATCTCGCCTAGATCACAGAACGGACAGTTGGCGGCACCTTGGAGATGATACTGCACCATATGCGAACGCATTTCCTCATCGTTGAAGCCCTCCAGACCGCATATCTCGCACGTGTAATTCATCTCCGGTGGTTTACTGGACGCCATCTTCAGCGTATCCGGTTCTCCGAATCCTCTATCAGAAATTCAATTAGATTAATAAATGATTGCTACATCATAAATGTAACATTGATTTGTTTTGCGGACAAATTTTTCGATGACGCGATAGACAGAATTAATTTTAGCTTTTCAAGGTGAATAATAGAGAGATACGTTGGCGAATCAAATAACGTAATCTTTACATCAATATCATTTATCCGTATTTGTGACGGAAACTCTCAATTATCGGATTAATTATATTAAAAGACACACAAGTAAAATGTAATAAAACTATTATGCAACATATCTCTCTCGTCCTCTTGGATAATATATAAATATATAAATAATAAAATTTATAATTATATTTATAATTCGCGATTAATTAATAATGCGTAAAGTCAAAACAACAATAATTGTTCATGAATTGTACACTACGGGACTCGTCAGAGACTATTGATAATTATAAAAAATATGGCCAAGATAAATGCTATTACAATAATCGTTTCTGCGTGTAATACATCACTTATAAAATATAAGAAAATTGACATATTTGCATTATCTTTCATAAGTTTATTTTACGTTGATTTTAATAAACGCAAATACAATACAATTTTGAAAAGCGGACTTCAAAATTATATTGTATTTACTATTGTATTATATTTATTGACCAATATAGCATCTATGTTCAAAAGACATTCACAGGACATCTTGAAGATGTCCAATCGCCCAAAGATGTCTTCTGGATACCTTCTGGACATCTTTTGGATATGGGTATTAAGTAAAAATGTGTCCAAAAGGGAGCAAAAGTAAGGCGATAGTCTATCAATTTTGATATATAAGTCGAAATAAATGAATGATTTCGAGATGAACAAAAATTTGAGTAATATTCTGTTGAACCGATTTTTCTTTGATGAAAAAATCGCCAAAAGTGAAGAAAACTCGCGGAAATATAACAATAAAATCAAATATGGCACATGAAACGATTTTTAACGCGTCTTACCGAAGAAAAATCACAAGTATACGAAACAAGAAATACACAAAAAAAAACAAAAAAATATGTGTGTATATATATATATATATATATATATATATATATATATATATATATACACGCTCTTGAGTTCATCGCTCCATACTCCATAATTGCTTTACTCTTTGTTTTATCTTATTCTTATTCAATTAATCAACCGTCGTACACAATATCATAATTGTTATGCGGTTTAATTATTCTTGATTAAATCATTTAGTTAAAAGAATTGCTTTGCGTCGTGAAGAATTTTCTCTTCGTATTTCTATAATTTCTTCGACATTATCCAGTGTGCATGAAAATTTCAAAAATACAAAAAAACAAAAGTTTTACTTCGTTCAAAAGATGAATTTGATTTCGCCGCACGTTTCCTAATCGATGGATTCTTCGATTTCTCTTGTTATATTATAATTACTATATTATAATTTAATTATAATTATAATTTATAATTTATTACTATTTATTATTATCACAATTAAAATTTAGCATAATTTATTATAATTAAAATTAATTATTTATTATTATAATCATAATTTAATATATGTGTGCATTAAACATTAATTAATTTGTATGAAAATAATCATGTCATAATAAAATAAGAACTGAATTTATGTTCATATTTATTTGTCATCATTTGTCAATTACTTTTTTTCTCTCTTTTGGCTTTATCTTTTTATTCCCTACTTCATACCTTCGGAAAAGCGTTTTGCGAAAAAGAAACTTGATGAGGAAATAGTTTCATAATCAAATGATACGGAACAAGAATAAGATCACGGGTTGTGATTACTATTTAGATTCATTTATGACACATCGCGATACTTAGCACGCGCGAATACTTTATGACGGATAATTTGACGTTATACGCGCGATTTTCTTTTCGATTAGCTTCTTTCGACAATCGATATAATCTCAGAATAATATCCTGCAACGAATTTGTAATTTCTCGATTTAATTCGTTGATATCTTTCAGAACTATTTTCATGGAGGATCTAATTGATTAAACCAATTAATGAGAAAGCTTGATCAATTGAATTTTCTTTTGTATATGTTCCTAATAAAGTTTTGAATTTAATTGAAAATAAAACATTGAATGAAATGGAATAGCCAATACAGATGTATCTGATATTATACACTAGTTCATACACTATCCATAATTTAATTTTAGAAACATCGCGCGCGCGGGAGAGAGCACACATTTTAATAAACTTTTAAATTTTCTAAAATGAATTTCAAATACGATGATACGAACGAACACCTGGGCAATTTTACCGTGACAATTTCATAGTGACATCGTTCGATCTTCCTAATATTTCTTTTTTCCCTTGAGAGCGCAATCGAACCGGACATTTCTTTTGGCGACCATGAAACGAGGTTGCGATGGGCAACATACTAACATCTGTCCTAAACCGTTTCCAGGGAAAAGAACTTTTTCCTAACAAATTTCCATCTTTCATCCCAGTCGAAAGGAATTAATATATAACGAATAGATTGAAAAAAATTTTGAAATAATCATAAATTTGATGATAATCACTGTAAATCAACTTTAGTTAGTATTATTGCGGCGTATTCAACCTTGACGATCGAAATAGATTTGAAAACGCACTCCTCTCGAAGTACTATCGCTCATCACTCGAACCGCTGCACCTATAACGTGGTTTCTCTCACCTCCTCGGCGATTTCACCCCCGCAGCGACTCCGGCTATCAGCCGTGTCTAATGCCGTATCGCGACGTCGGGGCGGCGAGTCAATCGATGGACACGCGCTAGTCGAAGGCCAGCAGGAAGTCCGAGGGAATCCATAATTCTTTCCCGCGACGGAGAGCAGACAGTTTTGCGATCAGCTGCGTTGTCGTCGACGACGAGACGCGTGTAACGTCGCCGCGACGGCGGGAGGGAGGGGGGGGGCGTAGCGATTCTTTTTATTTGCTCGCCCCCGATGAAACTAGGCCACCGAGTGGCGAGAAAACGGCCGCCGCTGGGTCGGGTTGACCCATTTCTGGATCCCTCGTGCCGATGAGTACGCGTGCACTCGGAAGCCGATCGTTCGCCTGGCTCGGCTTGGCTTCCTTCCTTCCTTCCTCTCTTTGACGAGCGGCACTCTTCCACTCACTGAACTATCGGATCGATCATTCGCGCTCTCCTCGTGGTAGGCCCTCGCGCTCATCCCGCGAAAGCGGGACCGCCGATTGCCTAACACGTCGCCCGGTCGTTCGGCTCCATATGACACAACCACCGCAGTCGCTCCTCCGTCGAGGACGATTTCACGGCTCGCTTCCCCTGGCGCGCAGAGAGTGCCCGCCACCCATCGCTACCACCCCCGATTCACGCTCCCAGCGCCGCTCGGCACCCCTTTCAAGTACGCCGTCGGTAACGCCGATATCTCGCGAGGGTGGTTTGTGAGAGTCCCAGCACGCGGTATCGGCAAAACTATCGATCGCATAACTTCATAATTATGATGGCACCTGTAAAGTACACTATTTGTATACAGTGTCAATTATAATTCGACAACGTTTATCATAATCTTATCATTATTTTTATCTTGTCTTATTGTTAATAAGACGACTAAAAAAATTGCGATAGCACCGTAATAACGTTGCGCCCTGTACACATTGATCTCTAGTATTGAGAGCAACGCGATTACAATACATTACAATTCTTCTAATCGCCGTCACATTGTCTTGGAGCCTTCTATAATGACAAGTCGGCGCGTAAGAAGAGAATGCATTATCCAAATTGCAGAATGCAACGCGAATCACGCACGTTGATGCCGTTGCGCGGACAATGATTGACACATGACGGATCGCGCCTTTTTATTATACTTGTCGCGATGTTGCAGAAACGTGCGACCGATGTATCCCGAATGCAGATGCGACTGCTCGAGATTCCGCTCGCGACAAATTTGAACGGGAAACTCGATTTTTCACAATAGGTGCACCGACGTTCGATTCGCTCGCTGACATTTCCAGCTCGACTCGTCGCCTCATTGACATGCGGTCGACGATCGGTGCAGGATACCCGACGTTCAGCGAACTCTTTATTTCTTTCTCTCCCCTGGTCTTGTCTCTTCTCCTTCTAAAAAAATAGATGAGTCATTAAATAAATCGAAGGATATTCGTTTCACTTCGATTTATTGCCAAACTGAAGATACCTAAAATTTCAGATTAAAATATCAAACACATTAAACTTTAATAATGTTCTCTTTAACTTGTTAAATCTTTACTTTTCTTTTCATAATTTATCACTTTCCTCGCTACAATAAAACTTTCTCGGCAAAACACTTTCTCTAGCAACTTTTAAAATGAATATCTAGACAGCATAAAGAGGCCAAAGATATTTTAATCAAAGATAAAGAGTCAAAAGATTTAAGGATGTCAAAAGAAGTTTTTAAAAATGTCTAAAGAATGATAAGACTTTTTAAGTCTTTAAATCATTCTTTTAAGAATATTGTCTAAGTTATTTAGATTGAGAGCAAGAGAAACTTTTCGATAAATTTAACGACAATGACTTTCTTACGCTGAATTAAGGTTTGCGATGAGAATCGAATTCTCGCTCATCTCGGCCGTTGAATGCATATGATACCAATTAGCGTGTACGCGAAGATAATTAATAACCATTCCAAGTACTTGAGCGAGTTAAATCGAGTCCGTTGCCGGATCGTGTTCCTGGTATTAGATCGCTCCGATACAAAGAACCTCATCGGGAATGTTTGTCTAGAGAAAATAAATAGACAGGCGGAAGGAAGGCAAATGTGGATCGTAACGAACGGGACTAAAATTCTCTGTTCTACAACACTAAATGTTAAGACAAAAATTTTCTGAAATTTTCTAAGACCTAATAATCATAAATTAATCATTTTTTTTATATTTCATCATACATATAATTAATTCTATTATTTTATATAAATTTAGGTAAAGTTAGGAAGAACGTGGACAAGAATAAAATTGTATTTACAAACATCTTATTTGCAATAGAACCGGGCTCGATAAACTGAAGCTGGAGCCAGCTCTAACATCAAGACCTTGCAAATTAACTACGTCTTCTCCTGTACGGAATAAAGATCCTTATGGTACCTCGTTCGATGAGGTTCGATGAGATTAAACCGGTATGCACTTTGTGATGACTCTGATCACGTTCACCAATCGGCGAAACTGGTTTCCTTGGAATCGGTATTCGCGTATGGATCTTTGGCAAAATCCTTCGTATAATAATTGAAATATATTCTATCTCTTCTCTAGAATGTCTCTATCAAGAGACACACACGTGTATAATCAACAACGTACATGTGAAGATCGATAAAACTTCGGAGATAGCGATTTAATTTTTGAAAATGAAACAAATATTATCAATCGTCAAATCCGTGACTATCGTAAAAAAAAAGAGACAGGCAAATCAGTGATAATTCCTTGTGTTTAATCTTCACACGATTGAATTGTTTTTAATTTCGAGAACAGACATCGTCAGGATCCAGAGGCTTACATTCTTACGATCGACGTATCGATCGCCGCGAGCGGATCGACTGATTTGTATATCGTTAATCATTGTTAATTATCTATGCGCGACAGGTAGTAGCGGAGCCGGTAGCACGGAGGTCTGTCCGAGCTGTGGTCCAGCACGCATTTGAATATTTATACGATCGCGCGCGATTAACATAGCGAACGTGTCTCGAGAGAGAAGAAACTTGGATCGCGGAACTCGTCGATCGCGCGTTTACTTTACGCGACTGCTAATCGGCAACGGACTTTAGACTGCATTTGTATTGTCGTAGAATCCAGGAATGATGACGGATAAGCAAAAAAATGTTCGAGAGACTCAGTCAGCGTCAGAACATCCGCAATACGATATTTCTCACGCATAAATCTCATTAAAAAATTAGATGCGGATATTACGTAAGAAAGATATATTATACAAGCGATATTAAAGGAGAAAAAAATAGATTGTACTAATGAATTGAGCTGATAGAATATGTGTCGAACTATGCATTTTAAACTTAATTTGCGTAAAATTAATGGGTTAACATAACTTTGCATAACACCCGCCAATTGTGCAACGCACGCAAATGACATACCTCTCTTGCTGTCATTTACATCGACAGTAGAATAACGGCCTTCTCCCACTTTAAAAGGACGGAGTGAGAAAGGGACCGAGAAAGAAAGAGGCGAGATTAAACGGGGAAAGAGAAAGAGAGGGAGAAAGAGAGCAAGCTATTAAGAACCGGTCGTCCGCTGCCCACGTGCGGATTGAAGGCGATTTATCGACGGAATAAATTAATAAATTACGAGCGCTCCGAGAATCCGCTCCGATCAGTCAATCAAATATCCGAAGATGACGTCGGACATGTTTTCGGACACCCGTTGGCCGCCGAGAGACATCGATAAAAAATGGATGGTGGGCTCCGCGGTCCACAAACTCTGACTGCATGATAAATCAAGCGGCGTAGAAAAATATGCAAGCTATGTGATTCGAGGAAATCTCGCTCCGACCTATAATTATGCCGTTCATCGAAAACTACACAGCGTGTACGAACTTGCTTAAGTAATTAATAACTCTACATTAATGATTAATTTATCTAAATAATCTTATCTCGCGATATAATATGCCTTTACAGTCTGTTAGCCAAATATACATGTGTAAATTAAAATATGATTGACATCTAAACATGAGGATTATATATACAGGACATCTCGTCTCTAGCTGGAGTATCGATACGATATCTCTGAAATATATTATGGAGATTTACTTGGCGTCATATCGCGATGTTATCAGCGGAAGTTACGTCCCTGGGTTATCGGCTTTTCTCCTTCTCGGAATACGAAGCCATTCGAAGCTACGAGGCAATGGGGCCCGCAACGACATTAGATTTATGGGCGCGGACTGATTTTCGTCCGAGACTTGCCTGTGGTGTTTCGACCCAAGTATACACTTGAGAAGACGTTGCAGCCGGAGAATGAATGTGGTCAAGTGGTCCATTACGCATGCTGTCTCTTCCAATTCGTTCGTTCGTATCTTCCTGTGCGCTATCCTAATTCTACACGCTGAAGAAAATCTCGATAAGCTGAGCGACAAAAAACGTATTTATGTATTATGCAAAACAATTTTGAAAGACTATTTTACATCAATGTTATCAGAAAACAGAAAAATGGATTTGCTGCCTAGAAATTTATTTCGATGGAAGATACTAAGATAAGTTTATTTTTATCTATTCTATAAATTTATTTATTTTTAATGAAAATAATCCATTATCTATTCTAGATTTAAGGAGGCATGTTTGACTTCCAAATCATTCGTTATAATCTCGTAATATTTTCGGTACATCGAGATTAATTAAAGATAGCAAGAAACTAACTCCAAATGGGAATTAATCTAAAGGAAAAATGTTTTTACATGAAAATACCAAGCATTAAAGACAATCTGATTTTGCTACTCGCGTAACAAAGCGCTATGCGCGTAACAAAGGCCTTTTCTTGACATACGCGGTTAGGGAACGATGAAGAATCCCCTCCAAAAATAAAAAAAATAAAAAAAAGGGTACGTGTGGATATACGACCGAAGATGTCACAATAGCGCATAGTTGCACCGCGTGACAACTGCGCGCGCCATACGTCTCTTCCCACCCACACATGCAATTTCTCGACGTGTTTCTTTCTTCCTCCCTATCTCTCTCTCCCTCGCTCTCGTCATCGCCTCAGCCCCCTCCCGATACTCGAGGGGGCACCGGCTTTCCTCTCCACGTTTCTTCCTCTCACCCATCCAGTAAAAAGCTCAACTCGTAAGTGCCACGAAAAGCTCAGTCGTTCGCGAGCTGCGCTCGAGTGCACACCTCGGTTCTGTACGAGTGTCACGTGTATCTCGTGGACATGTGAGTCCTCAGAGCGCCCCTGAAATTGACATCTTCTTTCTCCTCCTTATCCTTTTTCTCTTTCTCTTCTCTTTTTCTCCTCTTTTCCACAAACAAACACGTGCTCGTCGAAACACGTGTCGCGTACGTAGAGTGATGAGATGAGGTGAGTTCGCGCATGGTTGCGGAGGGATTCAAAGGTATCTCGCAAGTGCACACCGATAAAATGCATTATTTAACGATGCTGCTGATAACAACGATTGCGATCCTTTTCGCGCCGGTTGTTGCGAATCCTTTCTTCGAAGCCGCGCAAGGTAATTCGTTTTTTATTATTATCTTTTAAAGTTTTACGTAAAACTGTAATAAATAGATTGGAACAAAATAAAAGAGAATGACAAGTTTACCTTGCGATATAAATAGGTGAATTAAAATTCAAAGGCACTGTGAGAAAATATTACAAGATTAAATAAGCGAGTAAAGTGAATTGATAATTTATTTAGCGAAGCTATAAATTTTTATTTTTGATTCACCTGCTTTTTGTAGCGAGACGTGTTTTTTTATCATTTTTCGCGCATTTGTTTCGAAGAATTTGCAGACGAAAAACATTATAATAATTTACGATTAATAATAAATTTCTCTTGAATTAAAAGAATAATATTACGCAAATCATCGCCGCATAAAGTTAAATTGACATAAAAATATTATTCGACCGCTGAAACCGATAAGGCACGTTCGTCTCGTTCAAAATATTAGCAGTAATATTTTACGGTGGACGTAGGGGGATCGTGGGTGCTTCGGCATGGCAATGCGTTACTTATCACGGCGCCAGATGAACCGTGATTATTTTTAAGATTGTTCGGTGCGATGTCGCACGACCCCGATCTCCGATGGTTCTTTCGCGCGACGCGCAAAAATACGAGCCCGGGACAGATTCATTGAACCCATTTCTCGCGGAGAGTGTTGTTCGTCATCGTACGGCAAGAAGATGTCAACGACAACATCCCGCCACATGTGCGCGTGGTCCCTTCTTCCCCTGACCTCTCTCCTCGTTTCTCCGTCCTGCTGATTTTTTTCACATCTATCCTGTCACTCGGATATGGCGATTTTTAATGTCTCTCGTTGCTGTCGTCATTAGAAAGAACTTTACGAGAAAAAGAGAAACACTCGAGGAAGAATCTTTTTTATCGTGATTCGAGTGCCTTGCTATTGAGAGTGCTCGAATTCTCACGGATTGTCACTGCAAAAAGCTTCGCTTCTTTCTGCTACAGTCATCCATCACATTCTTCTACTTAACATTTAAAATAATTTAATATATTAAATAATATTTATTATAAATAATAATTTTTTATAAATAATATTTTTTATTAAATAATTTAATATATTAATTTAATATATTTAATTATTTTCATATAAAATATAGAGCCACTAGAGATGAGATTTTTGCTTCGTGGTTAAAATGATACACATATTTCCATTCATCCTTAAGAATTCAAATCCTAAAAACTGCAACAATTAAGATTTATTTTTTCATATAAAGATAAAATATTTTTTAAATATCCCGATTTAAAATTGCGATTTGAAATTTTACTTGAAATACGCTCGAGTCAAAAAAGCAGGTCCACTTGCAAAGTATGTTAATTTCATGATAATTATCGTCGATAACTATGCAAGTTAACGCGAAATAACATGAATGTTGTTATAATAACATGTGTTTTCGCATTTTATATTCGATAATTGTACACTGCTATTTTGGGTCGCGCAGTGTGTCGAGAGTTTGTTTTATCGAGATGCGATTTCCAGTTTCCATGACTTCGTGATTCTGCTTCTCCACTGCTTTTCTCTCTCTCTATCCCTCTTTCTCTTTCTCTTTCTTTGGTCACTTTAATCTTTTCTGAAATTTACATGGTGCACGTGCGTGCGTGTAAAGGAGGTGTCGCTAACGGTCTCCGGTCTCTTCGTCTTCGGCTTGGCTCGGAGGCGCATATTCGTATACGTACAATAAGAGAAAAGAGAGAAATGCACAAGCGGAGGCATTGGAAACGCGCGTGTATTCTTACAGTATAAGTATATCCACACACAAAAACCAGGGGTGATAACATGTCACAAATCTTGTTCGTCGATTGCATTTATCGAGACTGTGGAAAATATTGCGACTTGCGAAGAGGAGAACCATATATCTATGAATCAATAGTTCGATCTATGATCGCGGAATTCACTAATTTAAAAAAAAATGTGCACGAAGATTATGAAAGTTTGCAAATTACATTTACGTACTCTCTTATAGGAGATGCTGCAACTTATTTTTTCTAGCTTACACAGAGAGATTGCAGCAATATTGGGTTGTTTCAATAAATCAATGACGATAGATCTTCTATTCATCATTAATAGCTCTTTTCATCGTACGATATCGTGCGCATAAACAGCGCATAATAGATATCACTGACATGATTTACATAGAGAGTGAATTGCATCCATGTGTTGCAAATGATTAACACGTTACAAGTCGGTTTTGATGAAAACTGGGGAGGCAGAGGGAGAGAGGGGCAAGAAAGGAGAAGAAAAATGCGAGAGCAATTTATTTACATGACTAGAAAATGTAACGTAATTCCCTGTACACGCGTATATTACAAAATACACCGTTTGATTTATAGCTACACACCATGCGTGTGAATGATTATAAAGTCTGCGTAGCGTTACGTAATTATTTTATTCTAATGATATACGACACGACACCTTCGAAAAAATTATAAAAGGGCAAAAGGAAAAAAAAAGCAAATTAGACACAGCGATTTAATCTGTCCACTGTCGTTAAAGTCCACACACGTATCTCTTTCTTTCTCGCTTTCTCGTGATATTTATCGCGCGATTTTCCAATTTTTATACATAATTTTATGCATAATTGCATAAACGAATATGGAGAGATGTCAAACTATTTCATCGACGTGCGATCGCGAAGCGTCAAACGGCTCTACTAATGATCTTTATTTCAAATAGATTCTATGGAAGGGAAAAGTAGACGATGGTCGTTTTGTAGGCAGAATCCGTTTAAAAGACGGTGGGATAATTGGCAATTTGTCACGCGTATATACCTACACACATACGTGTATTTTTTAATATCGGCGAGAGTGTCGATCTTAATGATAACCGGACGTAAATTTGACGCCTCGCTCTCTCAAGAGGTGCGTAAAATCGCCACCGCTTTACATGTTGAGCGTGTAATTTCGCGCGTGTCCCTCCACGACTGGAAATTGGAGCGGCGTGACTTACGCAAGACGGTAAAATATACATATAATCTACACGTACACACCTACACAACCGCAGTTTCTCAAGATCGCCGATCGAGATCGATATTCTTAATTAACCGTTAACATCCGCTCATCGCCGCCTTCGATCCGCCTTCGTGGACCGTCAATGCATTTTATTATGCGCGTCGGTTTATCGTTTTTCAAGTAACTCTAATGCGCGGATCTAGTTTGTATTCCGCGCTCAATGAGCTCAATTATACTTTCAAGAACCGCGCGAAAACCTTCACTTTATAGAGAACGAGAAATCACATATCAATTTCCTGAAATTATAATATAACCAGAGTATTATGGTAGTCGCGAATGTTAATTAAACGAGTTGATAGATGTTAAATAAAATCCCGCGACCATTATTACAGACTCTATTATCGCGAATAAGTATAGGGATTATTTTCTCGCAACTGCGTGCGAGATATCGAGATTTAAACTCACCTAAAATTATATGTGTATACCGGTTTTAATTTTTAATTTTAATATCCCGTATCTCTGTCGAAGTTTCGCAAGTTTTGAAAGATCACGTACGTCGTCGGTAAACGAAGCGATAATTTTCATGTCAGCCGTATATAATTACATGTAGCGTTTAATCGATCGGCAATTAAATGTAGTACGTATGCAAAGTGGCATTCGGAAATTTCGGGGACACGCGTTAATGTCACGCTCGTGCCGAGATTTGTATCCGGCACTGTATAATTTGGTCGAGATGAAATCTTTTCCTCGCGGATGTTTCCTCTTCGCCTGTTTCCTCTCCGGTCGGTTTTTTTTACGAGCGAACTCCCTTTCTACGGTTTGATAATAAAACGCGGTCTAACGCGTCGGCAACGCACCGCAAGATCTCACACTCTGTTCGCGTAATAGAAAATCATAAGTGGCGATACGTTAACACTTAATAATCGTAATAACGACTATCCGCTACGATAATATAAATGGAAATAAGGAAAAAGAAGAGAGACAGAGCGTGACGATCCGGAACGTGTGTGCGAAGCGTATACGGGGACGATGGCTTAAACAAGCGTGTAAACATTTTCTTCGGAGAATTTCCTTCGATTTATCCCTCCTTATGTGTACTGCTCGAAATGACAATCTCTATTAACTGTGTGAGAAAGAAAAAAGAAATTGATGACTTTCCGATCAAAATAATTAATTTAAGAATTTTTCAAATGATCGCGTAAACTTGACGCTCTTTATATCTTTTTTTAACAAGATAATTTTTTTAATAATATAATTGATATAATTTGACGATGTATTAAAAAATCAATTGATTGAAAAGACGATAGAAGAGATCATCTACGATAATTGTACGTGTCAATTTCAAAATTCAGAGCGTGTATTCGCGTACAATGTGACAGACGAAGATAGTAATTAGGGAGATACCGGGAGCTTTTTGTGGACCTTACAACGACACTCGACAGTGTCCTCCGGAGGACCGGTTGTCGCGAATTTTTTTTCGCTCGGAAAAAAAGAGACGGGAGCAGATCTTGAGAGAAAGAGCGAGAGAGAACAGCAAAAGGGTTAAAGGAGAGAACTTCCAATAGGCAAGAGTTTTCGAAGGAGAGATTCTCATACGCCGATATATACACGGCGTGTGTCATGCAAGAGAGAAGAGATAAATAAACACATAAAACTCTGTGACAAGCTCCACGATGGATAAAAACATGTCGAAAGACACGTATCTCGATCCCCCTCTCCCCCTTATTTTCCCGGTTTGCTTCTGAGATACCTCTTCGTTGCTCTCCTCGTCGATTTCCTCTTTCTCTTTCGTTCGCGCCATAAAATGCACCAGCTCGTTCGGCGCAACACGTATAGGCTTGATGACTATATTAATTATATCTACAATTCTCTGATTTATTCCTTCGCCTATCATTGTATAATGACATTTTCGCGAAAATTATCGTGTCTGTTTGCGGATAAGGATGTTGCGTATCTATAATCAACGATGATAGCCGATAGCTACGAAAAACAACTATGTTCGCGCTGGCGGAGAATTAATTAATACATAATTAATAAGCATCAATTACATAAGCAACATAATCTTCTATTTGAAGAATATTTATTCAAAGTTTCGTATAAACAAAAAAAGAAAAAATAAAAGAATCAATAATAGCTCATAAAAGTCTACTTTGCAAACATTGATTTTTTAATTTCATGGAAATAAATTTCTTTCAACTTCTTTGAAAATTTGTATTAATTTCCATCCGTTAGAAAATCTCGAAGGCAAAGAAAGGAAGGTAGATAGTTTGAAATCGTAATACAAAATCGAAAGGGGTAGCAAAATTTGATTCCGAGTGCAATTTTATCGAGAGTCCTTTACCACTTATTCCGGTTTTCCGGAGATCCTTGTACCTTACATAGCATATCCGCTGGTACGCTCGTTATCTCGGGGCGTGGGAGAATCGCCCGGGTTTTACGAGCGCAATGACGATGTCGACGATGTCGCAGCGCTCGCCTTCGGGCGCCAAAAGATGCAGCTGCGAATGCAGTTATACGACCGTATATGCAACCGCGACTGTACGAAGAACCGGATGGACGAAGGGACCAATGTTGCACGACACATTCCCGTCGATCGACATCACCGGTCGTTTAAATTCGTCGAGGAAACGCGCTCGCTTGATTCCGAGAAAAATTCGCGGCGAGAGGAGAAACGACGATTCGCGCTGTAAATTACGCGCGTGAAGACACGCTTATTGTCTCCGCACGCGTGGACTGACATACTGAGCGTTTAACCGGACAGGACGTGACCGGAGACGGGAAGACATAAATTACGTTAAATGATTTACATCGTAGAAATATCACTATGTGTCCTAGTGATATTAATTATAATTTAATCCCGATTTAATCTCAAAATAATTTAACATTTTATAAAATATTTTTACATATTAATACATATTAATACATTTAATCTCCATTAATTTAATATATTTAATTAATGGAAATTAAATATATTAATATGTAATAAAAATATTTTAAATATGTAAAATATTTTAAAATATGTAAAAATGTTTTTTACATTAAATTTCTCCGTCAGAAATTGACTTAAAAATTTAGTCACCGCGCAGTTTTACTACAGTTGGGATCTGTCATTATCGGCGCAAGCATCATGCGAAATGGCATATGCATTGGACGTCGTGGCGCTTGAATAACAAAGAAAAAGAGAAATGCAAAGTCGCGAGAGGAGAAACGTCGAATTAAAATTTACAACACGTCTCTTCGGGGTACGGCATTATAATCGTGCAACATGTAATCCATCGAACAAATATGCGTTCTCGCAATCTAAAGGATTCGCCAGTATTATTATATTGTCGAGGACGATTGCGTCTCCTATTCTGTTATGCTAATGTCGAGAGACGGTGAACGCGCGAGACCGAGCTCTCTCGCTTCATTAAGCGCATTAAAATGACAATTTAAAATGCCGCCTGTCCCGTTCCGTGGAATCTTGAATTAGTCAAATTAAACGGCCCACTTTAAAGACGCTATTTGTCATTTCCCGACATACCACCATCGTCGCGTCGATATATTTCACAAGAGAAGTGAATCTATTACTGCTCCAAATATATAATTTGTACTTACGATTATTTATATGCTGCGATTCTTGACCAATCCATTTCTTCGTCGATGTCTTCTTCCTCTTTTTCTCCTTCGATAGATATGAGCGTAGAACGCGATTCTGAAAAATAAAATATATATTTATAAGCTGCCGGTAACTTGAACTGCACTCGTCGATGTTTCTCGTCAAAGTCACGAATTTTTCGACTTCTCGGGTAGCGCGTAAATGGATGGGATAAAGTGAAGGGGGTACCGCGCGCGGAGTTTAGATCGGTATATAAACGCCGGATGGTCGCGAACGACGCCGGTTATTTTTGTATCGTCCGCAACAGGAGCCACAAAACGTCGCGTTTTAAGACGCGACGCACTTGTCGCCGCAAATTTCACGCGGAAACGTCAAGGTTCTTTGTGGCGAGGATTCGATTAAAACGTCTTAAACGATCCGCGCGACTCCTTTTTACGACGACCAGGCGATTACGAATGCACTCGCATGAGTAACAGTAAAAAGTTCTCTCGCGCGATCCAAGACGGCGATAAACGGAAAGTAGATTGTAAAAATTTATAATAGTACCTTGTATGTGCATATAAGGGGAAAAATATAACTCGACTTTCATAAATCATCCCGCTATAAATATATTTTTGGGATAGACGCGACGGAATAATTCCCGATGGCGATGGCAAACGGATAAGTGCCAGGTGTTGGTGACCGAAACCGATATCTAGACAAACATTCGTAATTTATTCTGTAATAGGAGAACGTTTTTCGAGACGAGAACGCCCTCCTGTTTGCTCAGGAATGCAAACGATCTTTGTGTGTATGTGACACGACTGATATTCTTCATTCTCGACAATATGACTGCAATTGTAGCTCTTTGTAAGTGTCCAAATGCAAACGATAGATTAACGTGCCTCGGTAATTGAAAGGAGCACTCGATGAAAGAATATTTAGGCATTTTTATGCACTCCAAAGTTGATTATGTCAATTCTAAAAAATGCACTCTACACTTACACACAGACATATATGTAACCGGAATCGAACGATTCTTCGAAACGAAGCGAGAGAGGGCCACAATTTACTTTTAATTGGTATCTATTAGCTTCATTGTAACGCAGTGCATACGTGTCGGCGCGGTCGGCGGCCCTTAGGATTTCAGTCACCATTCAAAAGGTTCCTTTCACACGAGTTACTTTGATCAAACCCGCATATTAACCCCGTAAAGTCATTAAAGATCTTTCACGTCAAAAGTGACACATTGGCAGGAGTCGTTGATAACCGTTCACGATAAAGATAATCGCATGTGTGTACTGTTTACATAATTACGTTACAATCAAAGCGTTGTAAGGGTAACAAACTATCGTACATCAATAAGTTTAACTAAGCGAAATTGGAAAACCATTCTTTCCCCGAGTTGCCTCTAAATACGATCTTACATAAATTTTAGTACGAAAGATGACTCGAACGAAGGACAGGATATCTTATTCGATTGTTCGATCCGAGTGACGCGCCAAACAATTCCCCCCCGTCGTTTAATAATTGAAGACGCTGGGAAGAAAGGGGACACATAGAATGTTCCTCGACTGCACGCCACTGCAGTCGCACTAGATGAAACGAAAACTTTAATATTTAAAAGACCAACAGTGAAAATACTCGCTGCACGAAACGTCCACGAAGGTTTCCGACTTCTTTCCCTTGTTCTATGTTATTTTTATCAAATGCTTCACGTATAAATGTATGTGTCACTTTATTCAAAAACAATTGTATATCATAAAGATAAAACGATTTCGCTATTTGAATATAAAAAAATAATCTTTTGTAATTTGATACAGACAAAATAAATAAAAAAATAAATAAATAAAATAAATAAAATATATTTTTCTGTAAAAATTCAATCTTGGATTCAACTTTAAAATTTTATACTATATGTCAAGTCCTTCGAGAGACCGGTAGAAATTTGACATGTATGTATACGTACCGGCAGTATGTAGACTCTTGAAAAAAAGCTTTTCCACTTTCTCTCTATTCCTCTTATTCTGACGTAACGCAGGACACGTCTGCTTCGTGTCGGAGGAAAACTGAAGAGAGAAGACAACATGTCCATTCAACACTGGGCTACAGTTCCCACGTGTTCTGTTTCGACATATAAAATTAATATCCGTCTTCTGTTTCTATTGCAGAAATGTCCTGCTGCTCGCTTGCTGCTGGATCCTGTCGGAATGTGTGCTCCAAGGTATGCATTTTAAATAAACACATATTTACACTCTTGAGTTTCTTCTTTAAGAAATCTTGAGAGGATTTTCTGAAATAATTTCAATAATAAATATAATTTTGCGGAGGAACATTGCACTAGATTATTATTAAATCCTCTTAATTAAATCCCGTAATATAAAAAAATACAAAAAATTGTATAATATATATAACATATACTAAAAATTATGTTTTAACGTTATATTATCGTAACTAAATTATTGCAATTTATTGATTTTTATTAATCTATTTTAAACGGCACATTTTCTCCTCGGGCTGTATTTCGCATATAAATTGGCAAACATAAATTGCCGGTAGTAAAGTGTTCACAATAATTAACGATACGCGAAATTTGAAATTACTTATAACTAGAATCCTCTCTCTAATATACGAAACACTCGCAAGCGAGGTATAAAAGTACACCTTTCTTGTCGCGATAAAAAATTAGTCGTGACACGGGATACAATCTATTAATTATGTACAAGAGAGGAGAAGGCCTCGTGGGAATTTCAAAAAGACAATCTCAACGGCATAATCGTCTACTGGAATGAATGCGATATCACGCGGTTGATAAATCCGTGGGCCGACCCCGGGACGATAAAGGACACGAAATATGTCGTGTCCATGGATATATTAGGATCCGGGAAATAAAAACAGGAATATGACAAGAAGAGGAAGAAAGAGAAGAAATGGAGAGGGCAAAAGCGAGAAGGAGCAAGATATACCTCAAGCCGCTTCCTTCGATGAGGGTTTCTCGATGTGGGGTGCGTTTCGCTGCAGCTTCTTTAGAGAGGTGAGGCTGGTCTTCGAAGATAATATCGGGGGCCCGCTGCGAGATTTACGCTGGATCCCTTCGGGGCGCCCCATGGGCTCATTCATACGCAAATATTACGAATTGACGCGTTGAACATGGCGAAGGTATCGCGTTATCAATGATATCGTGTCTCCATGCAGTTTATTCGAAAAGGAAGGACGTGCACTGGGTGTTCTTTTGTTGATTTCTGATTACGGAATATATATAACGTATAAGAATATCGTCCATAAAGAATATTTTACAGCGAGGAGATTGTAATGTAAAAATAAATTTGTAATGTATATATGTTAATATATATTGTTAATAAATTCAAGATAAAAAAATTCATCATTTGCAAGAAAATTATAATAAGATACAGCAGAATATCATAAAAAAAATTTGTCGGTTTAACTTGTCACATATGTGGCTCTACATCGTATAGTATTTCTCGTAACATCGCTTATTTGAGATGTGAGACACGACAACGCGAGGTGCAGAAAAACTTCGAGAAAGTCGTCTCTCCGGATTGTCTTGCTTGACTACTGATGAGCACTTTCTTCCTCCGGCCATCTAGCAGCAAAATAACCGGAAATCGTGACGGAAGGTCCGAGTTATGTGACAAGTTATTCTTGAGATGGACAAGAAAGATGCCTATTCGTTGAACACATAACGTCTCTTCTTCTTATTCAGATCAGCAATATTTTTTTTGCTTTTTCATATTATAAAATAGATTTTCGATGAACTAGTTTCTTTTCTTTTTTTAATTACATTATATTTTTTTTTCTCCTATTGAACGATACGCCAAGTATTTTATTAAACTCTGAAAGATATGAAACTCAATAACATGTCAACTAGATTATATTTATAGTTTTTATTTTTAAAAAACTGAATATAAGCATATATACACACACATCATAATGTGATTCACTGTATTGGTCGAAGAAGATTGTAACTGACTACCGATTTAATTAGTCGACCGACACCTCGTCGCGGTCGTTTATAGTATCGTTTGTGAGTTCGGAAAATAAAAGCACGGGGTAAATTATGAAAGCTTGCGGCTCTATTTCGGTATCTTTTGATCTGCGCTGTAACTCGGAGACCGTCGAGGTTGATTTATCTAGTTCGAAATATACGAGCTTTGAAGTAGCATTTATTTCAGATTTTTTGCCAACAATAATGTTTTGTGCGTCAATTTCAGCGACATGAAAAATAAAGACAGATTTTTTTCGATATTACTGTTCTTTTTCTTCATATTCGGAAAATTATTCGCGAATCGTAGGCTTTATTAAACATTTATAATTTTTTAGCAAAAAGTAAAAATTTATTCTCATTAAAACCCTCTTCGACGTTGCTGCAAACTATTGCAAAAAATTCACGAGTGGATAATGCACCCCCTTTCAACATGGCGATGTAGCCCGGCTGTGCATACCTCCCAGAATATACCACGACGAAAATACGTACATGATTCTCTCAGCTCCACATCGCTTCTAACATTTATAACAGTTTAACTTAGCAGAGATATTCCAAAGATACTGACTGATTTACTAAATTATTATGTATATAAAATAAGTTCTGTCACTATAGAAAAGAAGTATAAAAGAAAAATAAAATCTGTCATATCTAAAGTAAGAAAATATGTAAAAAATATATATAATTAAAAAGATTTCTTTCTTCTCCATCCACAAATAATTAAATATAACCTTGTAATACATATATTGTCATTTTGAGAGAGAGATGAAAATATAATGTTTGTTCTTATAATCAAAACTATAAATTAATGTAAAAAATATTTCCAATATACGAATGGGAAGTCGATAACTTACAGTTCGGCAAACGTGACCTTTGACTATGAGCGTATCGTCAGGGCCCATCGGGACCCACCGCATGTTGATGGATGGTCGTAACTCCTGGCCGTGATGGACATACCGAGTGAATCCGGCATGTCCTCGCGGAAGGCACCGATTGAATCCGGAATGAGGATTACATACGATATCTGGCTCTGGAGACGATTGTCATTCAGTAATGGGTAGCAGGAAATCGCAGGGTCCGCGTGTTGCATTCATGTCCTTGATTTTTAATGGTTGTTAATGCACCATTCCGCATTTCGAATTTAGAAAGACGCTCAATTCAGTCTAGACAGACACTAAAGGTGTTGATGCCTCGAAATTTGATTCGTTGAAATAATTTACATTTATACAATGAGCTTTTTTTTTTGCTTGATGTTATTGTCATTTGTATCTTTTTTTCAGAAAGAGTAATTTTAGATCTTTCGCGGTATCTTAAAATTTTTATTCGTATTATGACCTCTCTTTGTAATTTTATTAGAATTTTTACATTTTTTTCTGAATACTTTTATTATACTTTTAGATATCTTTGGTGGTCCTGGGTGCCGAAATCGAGGCGAGAGAAAACGCTAATCGGCGTCTGCTGGAATTTTGTCCCATGGAACTGGTGAGTTTCGTCGATTACGTTTCTAAGGCTCAATCCCACGTAGTATCGATTCATTTATTCCATTCATTCGACTCGAATCGGAAGCTTCTTGACAATGGGCAACTTAAACGATCCAGGATGTCTGTAACGTGATCCACATTTTTTTCATTCGCAGTGATGGCTTTATGAAAAATGATCTCGGGGGACTTGCGGTCGATCGATCGATTATGTTCATTTTCTTCATCATTTTTTTTTGCTATTATATTCTCTCACGTTCCTTTTTTTCCAGATGGACTTCTGGTTCTGCGTGAACTCAACGTTGAATGGTAAGCTTGTCCATTGCTTCGCGTCTGTGCAATAGTGTTGCCGCTGAATATACCTAGTCTCATATGAATCTTTATAGAGCTCAAGAGGAATGAGAATTGGATAGGTCGAGGATGCTGCCGCCTTATTCAGAATCCCACGTGTCGCACAACCTGCGCCCTGTCGGGTTCCACAAACGATTTGAACGAGTCCTGCCGCCCAAGCGACGAGTCCGAATTTTTCTTTTGCTTAGAAAAGCGTGAGGAGGCGGAACGATGCTGTAGCAATGTTTCCAATGATACTTGCAGATCCATCTGCAAGGATATTTTTTACAAGCCAAGCAAGCAGTCTAGCTTGAAACTGTACAGCAGCAAGGGTTGCTTCCATCAAATTCCCAAATGCCTGAAGAGCGTAGCCGAGGTGAAACATGCCGAAGATCCGAAGCAACGTTAGTTGAATTAATACACATTTAAATATTAATTTTTTAATATGTAAAATATTGTTATTCATTGATTTGAATTATATTTATATATTCTTATTGATATTCATACATTAATTTAACATTGACAAATTGTATGAATTAACAAATGTATGAATATCATTTTAATAATGTATGAATATATCATTTTCTTATTGATATTCATACATTAATTTGATATTGATAAATGATTGATGCTCCGATGTGTTTACTAACGTGTTTAATAAATTCTATTTATGCAGATTTGCATTGTTGCGAGGAAGCCACAACTCCAGCGTGCCTAGACACATGTCGCAAGACTCTTCACATCGCGAACACTGATCAAGAAATCATGGATGCCTTGGCGGAAAAGTGCAGCCCGGTATTGCCTCAGTCGCCAATGTGGAGTTGTTTGTTGAAATCGGGTTCGACGAAGCCGGCGCGTTTACCGTTAGATGCCGGCAAACTGGCATGTTGCACAAAAGCGACGAGGCCCACCTGCCAAAATTTGTGTTGGCGGGCCTTTCAGGCCGACTGGGAATCTGCTTGGGCCCAGTTGGATGCGTTGTGCCTCTCGTCCAGCTTGGAGGGTGAACTGAGGAGATGTCTCGAGGATGCGGACGATCCTTGCGAGATGGGTTGTTCCGGATTGTCTTATTGCGCGCGATTCAACGACAGACCTACCACTCTGTTCAGGTATGAATGACGTGAATCAGATCTAATCAATACTTCTCATCAAATTTCTTTTTGGTCAAATACTTCACGTAAATACTTTGAATTACTCAAATTTAATTTGATTTGATTTGAAAATAGAATCAAAATTAAATTTATATTATGTTGAAATTATAAATCTCTTGAGAAATATTTTTGTTGATATTAGTTGGATATTAATTTTTCGCTAGGACATGTACAAGTACAGCTGACGAGGCTGCCAAGTGGGAAGCTGACCATTGGTCCAGAGGCGGAATTATTCGTGGATTAGGCGTACCTGTACGCGCAGCGGCTTCTTGTCCAGCGGAGACTTTACGCGCAGCGGCTTGTCTTCTGCAGTTGCGACCTTGTGAGACTAGAATCCACGAGACGCGACTCTGTCGTGAGGATTGTTTGGAATTAATGGCGAGCTGTGTGGATTGGGGTGCAATTACGGGACCGCACACAGCCGCAACTTTGTGTGCCAAGCTGTCGCCGGGTAGACCAGACGCGCCGTGCGTCTCATTGAGACCGTATCTGGATGATTCGCAGGATGACGAGACAGTGATCCATCCCGAGGAAGACATTACGACACCGTGCAAGCGGAATCCATGTCCGCAGGGTCAGCTTTGCGTTCTTCAACCGAATGGTGCCAAAATCTATCGTTGCGTGCCGGCTTGCTCTCTCGGTGAGATGTCGAAGCAATTAGTGCCAGTTGGATCCTGGATCCAAATTCCCCGATTCGATCAGCAGGGCTGCTTGAATATCTGTCAATGCACGACGCGTGGCCTAGAAAAGTGTCGTACGCCCAACTGTTTTAACTTCAAGTCCTGCTGGGTGCATGACCGATTCATTCAGCACAAAACCAACTTTTATCTTGAGTGCAATCCCTGCCATTGTTTCGAAGGCGAGTTTACATGTTCCAAGAAAAGCTGTGGCGAACCACGCGCGCCATCCTTGCCCTGCGATTGTCCAGCTCATTATGTCCCGGTTTGCGGCAGATTAGGCTTCACCTTCGCGTCTGCCTGTCTGGCGAAGTGCGCCGAACTGTCGGCTACCGAAGTAGAATTTGGCAGCTGTTCCAGCAGGGATCCCTGTGCGTCCAATCCCTGTAAAAGCGCAGAGAGATGTATTCGCAAACCTACAGTTTGTTTGTCGCGTTTGCACAAATCATGCCAGCAATACGAATGTGTGCCGATAGATTGTAATCCGCGCGATGAGTCCAGCGGACCGGTCTGTGATCGCGAGAATAGACAATATCCTTCTGTCTGTGCCATGATTCGAGCTGGAGCCACTTTGAGCTATAGAGGACCTTGTCTGAGGGGTTGTAGTCTGAGGGGTCCGGTGTGCGGCATCAACGGCGAGGTCTACGCCAACGAATGCGCGGCTTGGGCCGAGAAAATTATCGTAGATTATCAAGGTCCCTGCGTCGCCGTTGGTCTCATAGGAGAAGAGGCAAAACCTCGTTGCGGCGATGTTGTACAATGCCCTGCCTTGGTAGAACCATATTGCATTGGGGTCACTCCTCCTGGTGCTTGTTGTCCTGTTTGCGGAGGAGCAGCGAGATTATTTTATTCAAAGAAACAGGTAGATGCTTTAAAGCGTATTTTCTTAAATATATGAATTTTTCTTTAAATATTTTTGTTGTTTGAAAAATATTATATTCTTATAATATATTATATAATCCATTCAATTCATAAATTTTTAATTGGTTGAGCTAATTTACTTTTCCTTAAACTTCCTTTTCTTTCTTCATTTATAGTTGGAAAGAATCTACTATATAATGGACGAAGAAGCCGACAAGGACTCCGTTACATTGGAAGTTCTTCTGGGCGCTCTAGGTCGTCAGTTGCAAGTAGCGCAATGCGCGATTCGGGGTATGATGACGCCCGATTGCGATATCTTCATTGTCGTACAGCCTGTTGCCAAAAAACCATCAGCGTTACAATTGCGAGCTTGCGTGACGGAAACGGAAAAACTTGTCACCAGGATCACAGAAAGAAGTCCTAGAATCGCAGCGGAAGTTCCTCTGGGTTCATTGACTAGAGCAGAGATAGCTCACAGTTACGTTTCTAGTGCCATGAAAATTCGAGCTTGGCACGTAACAATTATTCTGTTTATCTTCATGTTAAAAATTACATCTTGAAAGCGATTATGTCAAAGAGAAAATAAGATTTATCGCTTATTCAATTCATGATTCAAAAATATTTACGCAGTAATGCATAATTTAATTAATGACGTGAAATATATGAGTTTATCAGTGTATTTACTTCATATTTAAGTTATAAGCGATAAAGCCTATTTTCTCATTCGTTCTGATTGTTGAAAGTTTTTTTACCTAATCGCAATTGCCATTCGCTGTGGCGAATGTCTATAGCGTGTCTCATGTCTGTGATTCTTCTAGTGCCTTCTAATAGCATATAACGGGATGTATTTTTAGTTACTGATTAATATTGCCAAAGAAAAAGAGCATATATCAAGAAAATGTACAAAGGGATAGGATTTCTTGTGCGCATAATCGAGATAATATTATAAGTTGTAAATAAAGACTTCATAAACATAAGTTACATATATGCATCACAATCTGCATATTGATTGATATATCAGTATATGTGTTTGCATATGTGATTTTTACATAGCGTGTCCTTCCAAAGATTCATCGTAATAATCATAATTTTTTTGAAAATTTTGTTATATGAAATTTTTGTGTAAAGGAGAAACCAACAATTTTATCAAACATGTCATTATTCTATGATTTTTTCTAGTACACGCTGCATAGATACGGTTTTACGTTGCGAAGTATTTCAAATTTTTATCGTATATGATAAAGAAATTAATTCATTAAAACTCGTCAAGCAGGTAATAAATGTGTGTTTGCATTTTATTTATAAATCTGCGATCGCCTGCAGTGGTTCGTGCCAATGATATGAATAATGCTCCCATAATTGTTAAGTATATTTTGTTATTATATTAAAAACAAATATTTCATATTTGTATTATTAAAAACAACTATGAAGTATTTATGTATAATTGTATTGTTAAAAACAAATAGTTTATATTATCATTTGTATGAATAATAAATTTATGTAATTTTTATCATATAGATATGATAATTATATATACACAGGATGTCTGATAAAGATTCATTCATGATTGCAATCATGAATGTATAGAGAGTGCAGTAAATTAAACAGAAACATTCTTTACCATTGTTTGCAATAATAATCGAAATACAAATTAAAAAAAATTAGTTAATAAACCCGTATCTTTTTTATTAATTTATTTCGTACAGACCATAGGATATACGCTCTAAGCTATCTGCGAGTGTCAAACAAGAACAAAAAAAAATTTAGTGAAATCTTTTTTTTTTTTTGAACGCATGTTTATTTGCCAATTCTTTATTATTAACTTAATAATTATTGCAAAAATTGCAAGATGATGCAGGATTTTTCTGCTCATAAGCGTTGATATAATTTTTATCAGAGATCTTGTATATTACCATATCCAAATATTATGATCTGCATGTGACATAATATCTCTATAATATATTTTACCATAGTGATTTTTATAAGACTTTATATCGACCACGTGATGCGGTGTGAGCGCCAGATGCTTGTAACTTAATAAGTTCTTCCTTAATGAGCCGAGATACCTCCGCCTTGGCTTTGCTGACTGCTAATTCGCTCGTAGATTCTATCGCCAGATATAATTTTCTCTCGCCCTCTGGTGGTGTTCTTCCAGGTGCAATATACGTCCCCCTGACTGTAAGGCCTGCCTCAGAATATTCCGAAATTTGAGCTAAAGCTTCCTTGCTTGTGACTCGCCATCTTGCTTGCTGTGGGAAGTCATTGATTTCGAGTTCCTCTTCGTACTTGCGGAACGTTTGTTCACCCGTTTCCGCGTCGCTCTCTACTAGATCTTCTTCACGCGGTTGATAATTTAATTTAGTGTTCAATTTTGCTGCCAGCTGTTCAGCGACTGTCTTTGCCTACAAGAAAAATAAAAAAAATATTTATTTATAATAGTAATATGATATTTGATAAATGAAAATTCGGATCTTACTGTAATAAGATTCGTAGGTCCTGCTCCTTTGAGTATGGCTTCCGCGGCTTGTTGAGTGGCGCCTTTCGCTTCAGCGCCCAGATTCTTAGCAATATTTATTTTCGATGCCAATCTCCTGGCTAATTCTAGTTTATCGGTGGCACTAGGTACTGGTTGACCGGGTACTGTGATGTTAGTCGCGGTTGGTCTGGCTATTTCACGAACTGTTCGTTTAGGCGCCAGCATACTCTCAATTTGTTGATCGATATCATTTTCAATGTCTTCATCATCAGAATCTTGCAATCCCAAAGCTGCTTTTTGAAATTTCTTTTTCTCATTTGCTAAAGCAGCTTCTGATTCATCGAATTTGAACCCTTTGCCACTGAAACCACCTCCGGTATGAACTTGCTTTCCATCTGCAGCTTGACGGGCCTTGTAACCCTCCCACAACTGACGCAAGGGTTCTGGAACAGGTACACCTGCTAATTCATGCGCACGTAGAATATCGCCGGCATAACGTTCTTGCTCTGACGTAATAAAAGTGTACGCATACCTAAAGGAAAAAAATGTAACACGATTAATTCATGAAAAGCATTTCGTAAAATTCAAAAGATTTTACCCTTTATTTCCAGCTCGACCAGTTCTACCACATCTGTGCACATAATCTTCATAGTGATTAGGGCAATCATAATTCACGACTAATACTAAATGCTTGACATCTAAACCTCTAGCGGCAACAGAGGTAGCGACGAGTAATTTTGTCCGTCCAGCCTTGAAGTCCAATATAGTCGAATCTCTGTCGCATTGATCTATACCACCATGAAGAGACATGCAGGAATATGAAGCTTTCATAAGATCTTTCAACAATGTATCTGCATTCTCTTGTTTGTCCACGAATATAATGATGGAACCTTTGTCTTGATAATGTCCAAGAATCTCGAGCAACTTGTAAAATTTTTGGTCTTCCTCGAGTACAACCACATGCTGCTCGACATCTTTACAAACAACAGAACGTCCACCGACCTGCACCTCTACCGGTCTCGTAAGAATTCTTCTGGCCAGCGCTTCCATTTGTCTCGGAAATGTCGCACTGAACAGCACAGTCTGTCTATCTGGTCTCACATTTTCCATAATCCGCATTACCTGCGGTTCGAAACCCATATCGAACATCCTATCGGCCTCGTCGAGTACCACATATGTCACGCGACGTAAATTGGTTACACGTCCGCTATTAGCAGCGAGCATATCGATCATCCTTCCCGGTGTACATACGATAATCTCAGCTCCTCTTTTAAGCTCCGCTATTTGCTCAGAGATGCCAGTTCCACCATAAACGCACACATGCGAAAGCCCCAGTGATTTTGTAAATTTTTTCGAGTCTCTGCCAATTTGCATGCATAATTCTCTAGTTGGTGTCATAATCAATGCAATCGGTCCGTCACCATCAGCCAATGGTGGCTGATCGAGTATATGGCGAAACATAGGCAATAAAAAGGCTAATGTTTTTCCACTACCAGTTTTTGCTATACCTATGAGATCACGACCAGACATAATAGCTGGAATTGCTTGGCATTGAATGGGTGTTGGTTTCTCGTAACCAAGTTTTTTCAACACTTCTAATTCCTTCTTGGTTACACCACATTGTGCCCAAGACTTGATAGGTTTTGGGCAACCTTTACCTTTCACACGAATACCTTCTAATTCTTCTTTGTACATTTCTACTTCTTCTGGTGTCATTCTTGCTGCAAGTACATGTTATAGATAGATTTCACATGAAAAATAAAAAATAATTTATATTGTAAAAAAGTATTAAAAAAAAAGACTATACCAATTTCAGGAACTTCAACGTAAAACGATTTTCGAAACGGTTGATATTCTGTTGTAGCATGATCAACTTTGGCTAATTCTCGTTTTTGTTTATTTGCTATACCAGCTGCAGTTTCATGAAGATTCTCGCCTTCTTCTTCACTGGAATACTCTAATCCATCCTGATTTTGTTCAATCAATTCTCCCTTTTGTTTCTGAACCTTTTTCTTAGCCACACCAGTCACAATAACCACACTCTGAGCATTAGAATTTGTGCCATTGTTTGCATTTTTTGGAGCTTTGCTATCAAATTTATTTACTTTTCTCACTTCTTCTTGAACCTATCAAATTATTTAGATGTAATATAAGTACATATAGGATTATAACTTCAATACGATTTAGAATACTTACCTCTGCCATAAAAGCATCTAGTGGATCAATTTCCTCCTCTTCATCTTTTACTTCTTCTTTCACTTCCTCTATTTCTTCCTTTGCACCTTCTTCTTTTGCCTCCTTGTTATTCTGTACCACAGGAGTCTCTTCATCACTATCATCCTCAAGGGACCATTTTTTCATGGGTAGCTGAAAATTTGCCAAAATAGATGTCTTACCGTCTTTTTTGGTTGCTTCCAGCTCTTTCTTCTTCCTTTCTGCACGCCATCTCTCTATCCTTTCTCTTCTCTTTTGCATTTCCAACTCTAGTCTTTTTTGTTCTTCCTCCTACAATATTAATTACATAATTATATATAATTATATTATAAATAATAATTATATTATATAATTATATATAATTATATTATAAATAATAATTATATTATATAATTATATAATTATATATATTGTTTATCTTTCTTCATATTATTTTTCAAGACTGACCTTGTCCAATTTTGTATGGTCAAAAGGCAACTCTTCGCTGTCCCCCTTCTCTTTATCCTTCCTGTCGCGTGACCGAGATCTGTTCGATCGTTCTTTGCCAGAGCGTGAAGACTTTGAGCCTGTAAGACGCTTTTCTTTACTGTCTCCACTAGTATACCGAGAACAATCAATGTCAACAAATTATGTCATTGTTACTATTTTTATGAAAAACATTGTGGATATATTTGTGACTAAAAAGAAAGATAAAATGGACAATCGTTTTCTTTCAGATTAAGATACCGAAACTCTCTTTAAGAGTGTACCGTTTTCTTTCGCGATCTCTGTCCCTCTCGGAACGTTCCCTTCTATCACTCCTTTCTCTGTCTCTATCCCGTGAACGACTCCTCCGCTCTCTATGACGTCCCTTGTCTCTGTCCCTCTCTCGGTCCTTGCTTCTGGTACGTCGTCGTTTCTTCTCAGGTTCGCCCGATCTAGATCTCGATCTCGATCGCGATCTTCGCCGATGATGTCTATCCCTACAATTGTTCGCAATAATTAGATCGATTATGAATTCGGCAGGTACACGAAGCGTCGTCAACATAACCACAAAATACAAAATGTAATATGTTTCACTTACTTGTCGCTACTTCGCACCATCTCGGCTTAACCGAATAAATCTGTTACACCAGTAATTGAATACTTAAATTGATAAAACTATTGTCCGCGCACTTATTTTATTGCTAATTAACATTAATTAATGTTTTTCCACGAGGAAAAACCACCCCAACTTCTCATACACGCAAGTGTCTGCAGCAACGCCCTCCCTTTTAGCGATCGAAGTGAGAAGCAGCTGTGACGTTGCGATTGGTTGCGATATTTCGAGAATCGCAATTTTTTCGAGAGATTTCAAATAAAGTGTGTGACGCGTCGTGTTGGGTTGCATAGTCTCCGTATCGCTCCGTATAATTTTCGCGATTGTTGCCATCTCAAAGTGAATATCGCGCGCGAAAAGTGCGTCACGATGATCGTTGTAATTCGCAGTGCGTTAAAATTTCGTTCGATCGCGATTATGTGTGAGTTTTGCGTCGTAATTTCAGTGACTCAACCGCATCCGTGAATTTTACAAAGATTGAACATGTGTGTGTATGTATTCTCGCATGTTCCATGGTCTTCTCTTGCTTGAAATACATCATTTGTAAGATGATCATCGATTCAGGTACATATATATATACATAAATGTATGGTGTACATACACGTATATCATGTCATCGTTTCATAATTAGCTGTGCGAATGATATTTCTTACTAATGCGTATGTGTGTGTGTGTGTGTATGTGTGTATGTGAGTAGCGATAGATTGATACATGGCACGAAATAGACATCGTGAATAAATATAAAATCGCTATTTTATTGTACATTTTATATTGGATATTAATAACATTAAGATGAGAAATTATTCAGAAAAATGTTCACGTTTCTTTACGAATGATTTGATTATGTTTATACTTGAATGTGCACCATACATGCACAGAAGTTGAAATAATATTTTTCAACTTTCTTGTACAATTATTATTACTTATATGATAGCATTCAATTTTTAAAGGCTACGAAAGATTGTTTATTTCTAGGATTGTTTCTCGAATCATTCTTATAAATTGTAATTAACAAATTATAAAATTGTAAGCCTTAATACATATAACGTTTTTGTCGATAATATCGTTAATGATTATTTACCATAAGAGAAATAATAGCGTTTTTGTCGATAATATCGTTAATGATTATTTACCATAAGAGAAATAAAAGGATACATATTTTTTCTTTTCATCAGTGAATAAGTTAGAGAACATTAAAATTAAACTAATTTTAATCTGATATAGTCGGTTAATTATTATGTGATTGCATTGTTATCGATCATTAATATTACTCATATGATAAAATAATTAATTAAAAAAATTAATTTTTGGGTAAAGGAAAAACAGCTTTCATTCCATTTTATCTATATATCAATATGTTCAAATATATGAAATATCTAGAATTATAATAATTAAATTAAAAATACCTATTGCAAAAAAATTAGTCAATTATATATCATGGGAATATATTTACTATTAATCTATAATAATTAATTTATTTATATTAATATTTATCTTTAATTAATATTATATATTAATTAAAGATAAATATTATATAAAATATTATATATTATAATTATACGTATACTACTAGATTTATAAATGGATAATGAACATAATTATTATGTATTATTTATTATTGGATCTATAATTTATTTACATAATAATTATTATTAGAGATTTTTATAATTTATATTACATAAAAAATAGATATTAAATTACATTAAAAGTATTATATTACACATAGATATACACAATATATAAAATACACAACTTTATAAACGCTCAGATATCCGATTGTCTATGTATTTGTTGCCAACGATTACTGACAATAATTGGCAACATAACAAAAATATTATTAAATATATTAATTAATTATATTAATCAGTATGATATAACAATAGAATTATTCTTAATATAATTATTCAAGCTTGGTTATCTGGGTAGTCAATTTTCTTAGCAACATATTTAACTTTAGAGATCACTTTAGAGATTTGATGATTCGAGACATTAATTTAAATTAAAAATCAACATATGTAATTTCAAGTTTAACACGAGTATTAGAAAAATCTATCGTTTAAAATATACAATATTATTTACGTGCAATTGCAATTTATCCATGGAAATCTATTACATGTCTTATAATTGCATAAGCAATCCATTAACAATGTATTGTAATTCTGTCCGATTCGATTAATTTCCATCGATTAAATCAAGAAATTACTTCGCTGTGTAATAATTCGTTTTCACAAAAGGCATCTTTGACACGGTGGCCTTGTAAGTCTTCCCTCGAATCTCGATCAACACTCCACTACCATTATGTGCCCAATCCGGCGGTAAATATCCCATAGCAATCGGCCGACCCAAGGTCGGACTTGGTCCACCGGAAGTAACGCTGCCCACACGTTCACCTTCCGGCGTCAATATCGATGCGCCTTGCCTGGCAGGTGGTCCTTGACCTAGTAAGAGTCCGACACGTTTCTTCGTAACGCCTGTCTTAATTTGCGAAAGAATTTGTTGCGCGCCTGGAAAGTTGGCTTCAGTCCTTCGTCGTTTCGCTGTGAAAGAAGATAAATCGATGTTAAATATATATAAATTATTTTATAATTTTCTTAATTGTTATGTACTTTATAATTGTTTTATAAATTAGAAAATTGACAAAAGAAAAAGAGGCTGAAATAATTTGCGTAACAAAACTAAACAAACGTAAATTCGAGCGATAAAAATATTTATTTAAAAATGATTAGATAAATAGAAAAATATCTATAGTAAAGTAAGGATTCATTAGCTATCTTTGTAAGATTACTGACCTACTAGCCAGGTAAGAGCAGCTTCGATCGGTGTTGTATTTTCATCGATATCGTTGCCATATAGACAGAGTCCAGCTTCCAATCTATAAAAATAATGGAAAATATCAATATAATTTTATTTTACACTACTCATTTATATATTTACTGTATAATATTTAATATTTACCTTAAACTATCTCTAGCTCCTAAACCAGCTAATTTTACGTCAGGATTTTCCAAGAGCTTTTCTACTAGATTAATCGCGTCCTTCGCAGGAACTGAAATCTCGAAACCATCCTCCCCGGTGTATCCACATCGTGAAATTCTGATACGACTACCTAATATCTCGGTTTTCACGCTATACATAAACTTTAAGGTCTGAAGATCAAAATTGACTAGCGATTGGAGGACCGTTGCTGCTGTAGGACCTTGAAGAGCTATCAGACCCTGTTGCAAAGGCTCTAGAAAGTCGACGAATACGTTTTTACCAACTTCTTTAAAGTCTTTCTAAAACCAGAGAAATTCGTATACAACATTTTATATTACTATTCCTTGTGTTTTGACGTTCTAAAATGTTAAGCATCTCTGCAATTTTTCACCTGACGCTCCAATAGAAGTTGACTGTCTTCATCCCGTCTTCCCGCATTAGATACGAGAAAGTATTTATCTTCGTCATCTTTGGTGATGATAAGATCATCGAGAATTCCTCCTTTCTCATTGGTAAATATTGTCAAAGTGGCAGCACCCTTGTTTAAATTTTTCAGATCACACGTGGTTAGCGATTCTAAATACTCTCCGGCATCTTTACCAGAGACGCGTGTTTGTAGCATGTGACCAACATCGAAAAGCGAGGTCAACGTTCTGGTATGCAGATGAGACACGGTGATCGTATCTTGATATTGTACTGGCATCAGCCATCCGGCAAAATTGACGATTTTACCTAAGATTTACAAAATCCTGTGCAGTTAAATAAATAATTTTTCTAATCTTTCAATATATTTTCCGCCTTAAATAAACGTTATATTATAAAGATTAAAAAATGTATGTCGGAAAAATGATATTATCCATGTTTACGTTTAATAGCGAATTATATTGTAAATTATCTGTAATAATTTGTTATGTTAAAAACAATGTAACCAATTATTTTCTTAATCTAAGATTAAAAAATTCAAATCTCAACTCACCTTGTTTTTCCACGTGAAGATCGTAAAGACAGGTTTTCCGGACTTCATTAATAGTCGACGTTGACAACAGCCGACGGTTTTGCTTCTGAATCGCGACTGCATAAAGTGCCGTGGAATCGATCAAACAATTCGAACGCAACGTCGAATCACATCCCCATCCCTTCTTGATTCTTGACACTATACCCACGCTGCAGGTATTACGTCTACTTTCCACAATTTTGAGACATTTCTCGAGATTATCGTAGACAAGGAATCTGTCGCGGATACCTAAACGAAGCATGATGGTTCTTTCTTAATCTCCTATTTTATACTAACTTAGTGCATCTCAAAGGCAAGTCGAAGTCGTTGTATCTGTTGATATGACCCCGGGCGATATTTACAGACTCGGATATATCAAGATTTGAAACTTGAAAATAACTAGAAGAATATAAACGATGAAATCTGAATACATACACATAATATATGCGAAATATATTATAAAAGAAAATTCTTTTATAAATTACTTAAGTGTTGTGCGCGTTAAAAGAAATTCCACGAATCGTATGAAGCCCTGTAAATTATATTATAGCGCTTCATACATTGTGACCCGTTGGAACTTTCTGTTATCAATGAGCAGTTATCGCTATCTTCATATTAAAAGAGGTCATAGTACTAAAATCACGTGATAAGGAATCTATCATTGGTAATCACGTGTCACGATTATAAGAAATTGGTTGGTAGTCACGAGACCTAAAGTGCTTATTAAATTTTTATTGTACCACGTAATAATAATAATAATAATATTAATAATAATAATAATCATGATCATCATCGCAATAATAAATTGTGATAATAATGACAATAATAAATGGTAATAATAATAATAATCATTTACGATCGTAATAATAATAGTTTCGTAATAATAATAATAATAATAATATGATACTTCATCATCGTCGGTAATAATCCAATGACAAATGTCAATATTTATATAGTAGCGTGTCGAACGGAGAAACGACCTTAAAAAACGAAGACAGTATCAATGTTCGTTCGTACATTTTGTTTTTTTAGCTTCCGCCGTTTTTTATCTTCTCGCTCGCTCTCTTTAGGATCTCTTCTACCTCTCGCTCTCGCATCTTCCACACGCGCATTCTCACTCGACTTCGCTTCTTCTTTTGTTTAATCTTTTTTTTCGCTTTTAATCTTCCCTTTTCTCTTGCTCACACACATGCACGCACACACACATACATACACTTTCTCCTTCTCTATCTGCTGTCTTACACAATTGATGCAAAATGTTTCTACACAGTTCCGACCAATGTGTGTATGTATGTGTGTGTGTACATTTTCCCGGTTATTCTCTATTAATCAATCCTCACGATCGCATTTTGCTCGACACTTTCCTCATTTTTTCCACCTTTCCTCCTTGAAATTCGCTCTAGAATTCTTTTTTTTTCTTTTTAAATCCTTGCACGTGTTAACACATTCACTCACACTGGTAAATCGGTTTGGTAGTGGAGGGATCGGGGCGGGGGTCGGGGGTGGGGGGTGGGAGAGCGGGTTGATTATGCGATTAGGAGATATTCAATGGCAATGAACAGGATGGGAATGGGATATATCCGCCAGATTTTTTATACCGTACTTTGAGGATACCGTAATCAGGCAGAGGATTGCGGGGGGAGAGGGTACAAAAGAACGTGATATTGATGAAAAACAGAATAGGTCGCGGTGAAAAAAGAAGAAGACGTGAACGACGATCGCGGATCGGTCGGTCGATGACAAGCAACTTCGCTTTTTCCTTTCGATCGTCCTGCGATGTTTCACCGATCAATCCTTCCCGAGAAAACTCGTTCTCGATTGAGCGGCACCGATACCGTCGCGATACCATGAGCGTCGAAAAATCTAACAACGATCGATCTACGACCGCGAGGGGAGAAACTGAAATTGCGATCTGTCGCGCGCTAGAGAAATTATATAACTATATGTTGCCTCGTGTTCTTACGCGATTTTTGTTTCCGCTGTTCCGACATCGTTTCTTTTTTTTTTTTCAAACTGTTCATTTTGCTTGTTTTTCGACCTGTAACTATTGCTGTCCGAACTACTTTTGCCTCCCATCGCCTCTCCTCCTCACCGTTCGAGTCCCTCGAGCGCGTCGATCTGTCGGTAAAAAATTTTCCCAAATCTGGACCCGTCCTCTTCTGGGATCGGGCCCGAGGCACTCGTTCTGGTTGTCCAAAAGTCGCTCAATCGCGGATCGTTCCGACAGAATCGTCGCGCCGGAGGACATCTCGTACGCGTTGCGTGTGTTGGTTCATGTATGTACGTACATATGAGCATATATACATACATACATACATACATATATGTATATTTTTATATATAGATATATATTCGGCTATTCTTTTTTGGTCCTGGTACAAAGGAAACGAGAATCACTTTCTCTTTTTTTTCTTTTTTTTTTTTCGGAAGAACCGCGGTTTCGAAAAATGGAAAAAAGTCACCCGTTTATAAATTTTGAGATTTCCCGAAAAATTACAATCTCGAAACTTTTTGCTTTTGTATTTCATTCGGCCATGACTTGGTTTTTCTATTGACTTTACTGGAGGGGAGGGGAATTCAGTTTTGTTGCCTGTCGACATGCAATGTGCAATCACCGTCGAGAAATTCTCTCTCTCTCTCACACTTACTCTTTCTCTCTTTCTTTCATACTATGTTATGCTTTCTTTCTCTCTCTCGCTCTCTCTCTCTTTTTCTCTCTCTCTCTCTCTTTCTCTCTTGCTTACGCTCCCTATATGTATACCTCGAGTTCGATAATTTCGTCTAAAATTCCATTTTCGCCTTAACTATACACAATAATCATAATATATAATAATAATAATCACGATTCGAATACATCATCGATCATTTTTCCGAATATAGATACAATAATTTCTTATTTTTCATCGTCTTCCTATCCTCTTGCTCTCTCGCGTGCTCTCTTTCACATTCTCTCCCTCTCTTTCTCTCTCTCTTGCAATTACATCTTGCAATAATAATCGTTTAGCTCGTCGTATATCTATACATATACATATACATATACATATATATATATATAATTTATAAAATGAAAATAGGTACAATTTTGGACGCTTTTCTTCGTCGAAAAAACGCTCCGAAAATTTTATTTTCGCTTAATAATGCCCATCGGTTGCGATTCTAGTCCACTTGGTAGTAAAATTTTGTTTATTCTCCTATCTCATACGCATTTATGTCTCATTTTCTCACACTTGACATCTCTCATTCACTCTCTTTCTTTTTCTTTCTCTCTTATTTTCTCACTCTCTCTCTATTCACATTTTCATCAGTGGACACACATTCATCCGATCATTCATCCGGTCATTCATCTTATTTTGCAATTTGTTTCACTCGCAGGCAAACCCTTGTTCTTTCATCCATAAAATTGCAGCGATAGTCGCCCTCGCGATATATATCTGCCTTTCCGCCGCTAATTTCTAAAAAAGACCTTAAATTTAGGCTGGCCAATCGCGTGCTTCCGGAATCGACGAGCTTCCGTTTGCGTTTACGAAGGAACGAATTTCACATGATCGGGAGCATTTCAGATAATTTTCACGTATTTACAATTTAACTGCGATTCGAATTCCTCCAGTCTCCCGTCACAACAATCCGAGGCGTTAATTGCGAATATCGTAGTCGCGTGAAAGGTCGTCCAGCCGGAAGTCGTGAGGCACGAAGAATTTATTCTCGCTTATAAACTTCATTTCCTTTCGCTTATCTTCGATCTACACGCCTGCGAATCGGCCTCGCGATCCTGTCGAAGTGATCTCCTCAATTCGAGTCTCTTTATTCGACCAAGTTTTTCGATTCTCTTGCCGTGAACATAATTTTTTCTAATTTTGACATAGAAAAAGACTTTTATATATATATATATATGCCATAGATATAAATTTCACTTGATACATTATAATTTTCTAGAGCATTTGGAATTTTGCGAAAAAGCTTTTGCGCGAAGATCACTTCCACGAAGACGCCAAGCCGACCCGCTCCGCAGACATTAATATCTAACTCTTAATCCTCGATCGTAAGCCTAAAAGATGTTTCAAGGATCGGATCTTTTCCCGTCCTCGATCTCGCGTCGATTTCCTTTTTTTCGCGCGATCATCGATCGTGCAGTGTTCAATGGCGTCTACGCGCGAGCGCGCGTCGCGCTTCGCGTAGACGCGTTGGATTTATCACTTACAATCTAATTACACGTCGAAAGTAATGTCGCAAGTAATAACGCTCCAACGTGGAGCCTCTTATATTTTGATATGTTTGTTCGAGAGAATCGCGACATTTTGTCGAGGCCCTTCTCACGATGATCTCGTGTATGATAAATGTGAAAATTTGAAAAAGAAAATAGTTTGAAAATATACTCGCAATGAAAATGGCTATTTTCGAAAATGCTACTTTGGAATGTAAGAAGGGACCTCGCGTCGCATACTTTTTCGTGTAACAAATTTTGGGTTATATGAATTAAGCACATCTTTCGAGCATCCTAAATACAGAATATATGACAATATGATTGATCGATAAAAATTGAGCATATTTCTCGGTTAGAAAAAAAGGTATAGCAGAGGGCAAATGGAATCGGACCATGAATCTAATTAGAATTGATATCTCACATTCCGATCTTACTAAGAACGATTAATTCTTGAATCATCGTACGATATTTTTTGCTCGCGATTCTATTTGCCCACAGTTGCTACACCTGGAAAGATAATTGACGGTCGAATTGATCGTCGAAGAGAAATTGATTCCAGTAGTTATCGATACGCTAGTTTTGAATTCTCATCGAACACTGCCCACGTACGCGAGACGGAATCGGATCGTCGCGTACGTGGTAGGGAAAAGACTAGGTTTCGAATTTTCCTTCCACGCGTGCCACGGAGCTCTTTCCGTCGCACAGAAGCACCCTTTCTTTCATTGACGTATTATCATTATCATCATCATCATTAACAATAACAAAAAGGAGAACGTTCCTAGAGATACGCATCCGTTCGTAATGCGTTTTTGTGCAAAAAGGCTCTCGCGATTTCTCAATTTGGATCTCGCTCTTCCACCGTTAGTCGCAATCATCGACCATTCTCGTCCTCATCTTGTAGATATTATTTTCACATCGTAATCATTAATTAGACATCCTACACAATGCGGAACTCGCTCGTAACCGAAAGAGACTGTTATGAATATAATTGTATATGACATGCTTCTTCTTTACTCTCTCTCTTTCTTACTATAAAGTACTTGAGACAGCACTTTTATTTTCGTACTTCTTTTTCGCGCGTCGATTATTTCCGAAATTCGAAATTTGTATGTACGTAACTCGCGACATGCTCTACAGGATCCCATAGCTTCTCTAATTGCGACCAGAACGCGATCAGCGATAGGAAAAATCATTCCTCTCTCTTCGACGTTCTCATCGCGAAAAATCTGGTTCCTTTAGCTCGTTATCGCACTTTTTGGAAACTTTCATCGAAACATCTCAAATCGCGCATACCTCTCCCCGTCTCGGTCGATCATCGTGGTTAGTGCTGCCGCACCTGGCAATGAAGGATTTTTCAACGATCTGGATGTAACGATTCTATGATTGACAATGCACGATTTTAATTCTAACGATCTATTATTTTTAACATTATAAAAAATTATGGACGCAATATGTACAAACAGCTAAGAACTATCTTATTTTCTTTGTACAACCTTTGCGAAACACTTTCGAGAGATCCTAATTTCGTCACAATTTTGATAATTGATAAAAATAGAGATTAGTGCGAGCAGCATTAACTACTGAAGCACGCTCGAGACGAGGGGCAATCAAAATAGTTATCTCGCTCGCCGATCGACAATAGGGGAACGCATTAAGAGTCGATAGCGATAACTAATAATAGTGGTAATAGTACTAATAGCGTTAACTGATAATAACTAATAGTGTTAACTAATAACGAATATCAGACCGAGTGTACGAGCGCTTCGTATCGAAATCAATAATGTTAATTTCAATTTGGACGTACATGTATTTATTTTACGCATTTCGAAATATTCCTAAATATCGAATTTATTTATTAATATCCGAAATTCTGATACACGTTGAGCGATTAATGGAAGGAAGATTTGTAAGAGAATCTTCCATGTTTGTGTGAGTCACACTCACGTTCGTACACTCGGTACTTTGACAAGGTAATAGTAGGTAACGATAAAGTTTAATAAATGCACGTGTCCTAAACTTCCATGTGACAATCGTCAGCGTATTTTAAAGATAAGATACATTATCCTGCCTCTCTTATGCAAAAAGAAGCCGTCGTCGATCGCGAATTTCGACACGAGGAACCACATACGAGAGATGAATTAAAAAAAAAAAATAATAATAAGAAAGAAAAATATGAAGAAAGAAACTCAATCTCACGATCAAATTGACACAAAGAGAACTAGACATGTATCACATCGATTTACCTAAAATACCACACGCGAACGAGGACAGAACAGTTTACAACACGGATTCTATAATATAATACAATACTCTAATAGTAATATAATAATTATAATAATATTATAATAATAACTAATAATATAATAAAGTTAATCATAATATATAATATATAACATAATATAATAATAATAATAATAATGATAATAATAATAATAATAATAATAATAATAATAATAATAATAGCGACGTATACTAACATTTTCTAACAGCAGTAGCGGTAGGTAGGTAGATGTAATAATAGGAGTGATGGTAGTGTTGCACTACGCTATATGTAATAGTATTTGCGGCAGCGCTAAGCCTGCGTGAGTGTAAGGCATGAGAGAAAGAAAAGGAAGCTCGTAACAAAAATATGAAAATGAGAAGTTATCGATTAAAATTTAATATATACGACCTACGTTTCTCGGCGGACTGCGATTAATTTTCATATATCGGCGCGACTCAATCTACGTGAATAGTAACTAAAGAACCGTAGTTTGTGTATATCATTTCTCTCTCTTATGTTTGCGTATGTGTGCGCGTCTATGAGTATAGTTACTGATTTACTTCAGGATGCATGCAGCTCGAGGGTGGAGCCGCGTTAATTAATGTAACGGCTACGCTTAAATAGATTTAATTAATTAATAGTAGGCAGTAAAACTAATCGTAAAAATTCCTAGCTTGCGCTTAATCGTTTTTCTTTTTAAACCAATTCTGACTAGCAAACGTAACTCACGTGACGAGCTCGCTCGCCAAACGCCGTGTATTTTTCGCCACGCTCTCGGCCTTTTTTTCCATGGCTCTTTGTCCTTTGTTTTTTTTTTACTGATTTTTATTTTATCTTCTCATGAAATAGGAACTCTCTCTCTTTCTTTCATATTCGAGACCAAAAATCATCAAGTGTGAAAAAGCGTGGTTTCTTAAGTAATCTCGCGCGGCTCGGCGAACGAAAACGTTACGATGAGACGATTGAAGAGTACGTATAATGGGACGTGGAAGAAATAAAATTCAATCCTCGCGATTTGCCGATTCAAACGAGTTTCATCTTTTTCCGCGATAATGTACGATAATGTTGAACATGCAAATGTAGAAATGAGATCGAAAGAATTAGTCCCTGTACTCTTCGCTTTCTAAACGAGGAAAGTGCACTGGTACACGTAAAAAAAAAGAAGGAATGGGGCAAGAAGGAACGTAAAATTTGAATAACTTTTACGCGGCGTGCGGGATATGCAGATAAAAAAAAAAGATCAAGAAAGCAAGAGTCGAACTTGACATACCTAAAACGTAAAGGAAAATGAAGGAAAACACGTATAAAGCTCAATTAACGACAAATCGTGTCCATCATCTTCATCTTTCTCAGTCGTGGTAAAATCACGCGCATGATTAAAATGAAAAAAAAAATAACAAACATAATGAGAAACCAATCTCTCGCGCGATCGTTAACAACAATAAAATTTCGATGCCTAATTGTCTAATAATAATAGTAATAATATCAAAATAAAGGAAGAGAGAGAAGGACTCGAATTTCCGTAACGCGGTATCGTGTTCCTTGTTCTACTTTCATATATAAATATTTATTTGCTAAATAACATATATCATATATTTTGTGTAAAATGTATATGTAAGTGTGCTTTGTGTATACGTGTATAATTAAAAAGAAAAGGAGCGATAAAAAAAAAGAAAAGAAAGAAAGGAGAATCTCGAAACGTGGCTTCTCTTCTCTTACTATCGCTTTTCGTCGATTTCACTTAAGAATTATTAGAGATTTATAACATATTATGGCTTCGACGATTCTCAAGCGAAAATTTTGTAAACCGAGGCATTGCTTCCTAGATTTTCTCTCTCTCTTTCTCCCCCCTTCCTTTCGTTTCTCTATAAAATACGCCTCCAATTGCCCTCTAGCAATCTCATTGTAATAATAATATAATTAATAATTAATTATAATTAATAATTGTAGGTTACCGCGGTATCGAAAGGCTGGGGCTCGCTCGACAGACTCTCAACGTATTTTCGATTTTCCTTTTTACATTCTTTTTCTACATCTTTGCCGATCGATTTTATTCGTGTGGAATCGAAACATACGTGCGAAATCCTGTCCAGCAGCCTCGCCGAAAAAGCGCGAGGGTGGGTAGGTATTTTTATATGCAAAAGGAAAACTCGACGGAACAACAACAATCGAAGCTTCATGAAAGATCCATTCGCACCGTACATTCATCTTTTTTTGCTTTTTGAAAGTTTCTCGTTTTTGCTTATACAAGGATCGGCCCGGATCCTGGCCGGCGGTTTGACACAACGAAAAGAGGCTACGTTTTGTCAGCAACGCGGATATTTTCTCGTGATCGACGGTCCCGCCATCCAACCGATTCCACAGATTGCGTTCCCAATATCATATTTTCCCCCCATATTTTTTTTTTTATTTTTCTGATTTTCTCCATTTCTCTTTTTAACATCTTCCCTGCGCGCCGAATGGAACACGCGCTCGCACAATCCCATAGAAAGTTTTTCCCTCTCGAGTCTCCTCCTTTCACATGCTTCTCTTCTCCCGTATCCCCCTTTCTTTCGCCTCGCATTAAATAAGTACCGATTTCGCCTGTCCGAGTTGACACCCGTCTCGGCTTTGTACCCTCTTTTGACTAGAATTGAATTTCGAACGGAGGATCGCTTCCTCTTCTGTCGCGATCTTTTCGGAGGCTCGAGAGATAATGTTTTCCCTTTTTTTCTTCTTTTATTTTTTAAATTTCCGTCGAACGATGCAGGCCGGCGGGACCGGAAGTGCGTCGGTGTGTTTGCCCAAAAGGGGACTTCGACCAAACTCAATCGATACCATTAAACCTGCACGCGCATTCTCGTCGCGCTCTTCGCGATCCGAATATACTGCAGGTGAGGTTGTTTTTTAAATCACCCTCGTCGCGACGAGACTGCGCGTCGAAAATTAACGATAACTTGCGCTGTATTACTCGGTAACTAACTGTACGTAAAAGTCTGAATTCTGAAACTTAACGTTCGCTATTTTCGGAGTCGAGGTCAAGCACGCTCCGTTCCACGATCAAAGATGCAAATGCATCGATTGGATCATTTTTTGCAAGAAACTTCCTGGAATTTCTGAAAGTACTTTTTCAAGAGAAGATATCGAAAATAAACTTTCTTAATGATATTCTTTCATGAGCATTTCAAAAATGTTTATTTTATTTAAAAATTATGTAAAAAAAAGAAACTTGCTTGATAATTTTTAATTTTTAATTTTGTCTAATGAGGAACGGAGCGTAGTTGCCGTCGAACTCGCAACCAAGTTCATCGCGAACGAACGTGAAACAACATTGTATATGAGGGGGAATGAGTGGGGAGTAGTGGATGAAAGGGATGCTTTGTTCCTGCGGGAGCGTGATGAGGTGAATTGGTTCGCCGGTGGGGATGGGTGGTGGGGTATTTTGTATTGTGTAGAAAAACAACGCTGTAAGTGAAATAACTCAACGTTGCACTTGAAAGACTGATAAAGTAACGGGGATACGGGACACCTGAACACGCGTTGCCTGACACGGATGATGTCGAGCGAACTGGCGGCTGAAACCAACGTTTCAGGCGTCTCGAACTGCCGAAAATAATTCGAATGTATAATTCTTCGATCGTCCGACGTCGGAGAAAAGCCGGATAAGTTTGTTTGGAGAAAACTTGGCTTCGTGTTTTTTAATTCCCTCACGTTGAACAATATGTTGCGGACAGTTTCGATCTCTGGACGATCGCGGCTCGCGTGTTCAGGTACCCTCCGATCCGCATCCGAGTCCTAGAGTCCCTGCTCGTCGTGTTCCGTAGTGAGTGCCTCCGCGATTTATTTATTGGATAAAGGCGGTGCGCGCGGTACGCGCGGCGCTACCGCATTAGCGGCCTTACTTATAATACTGGAGTACGTGTAATTAATAATTATGCATGTGTGTATGCGGTACGGTTAATTAAGTCATCTTGAATGATTACTGTAATTAATTAATCGTTATCAGTTAGTTAAATATGGCTCCACCGTGCAATCGTCTACCTCTCTCCTTTCTTTACTCTGCTCTAGCTCATTCACATCCTATCTCCCTCTTCGGCTTCCTCGCGCCTACCTCAGAGTATACAACGTACACGTTGGCTAAACTACAGACACTTAGTACACTTATTATCATATTTATTCGTTAAATGACGATTGAATCGTGTGAAAGGAGGGATTGTGAGCGACCGGTTTTTGGTGAGGTTGGGTAATTTCTTTAAATTTTGCTCTTAGGATGTCTTTCTCTCGATAATCGAATTTTTTCGCCCCGGTCGTTCGAGGTCCAAAAAAAGGGGAGGGGAAAGGAAGAAATGTTTACCTAAACGAAGGGATCGGGATCGGAGGGGTAGGAGGTTGCGCACGAAATGAATCCGGTATACTTCCGGTCGTGTCACTACCCGATTAGCGGTAGATGATGTACGACGAGATTCTGCAGACACTGAAAAAGACCACGTGCTTCCCGTATACTTACTTATTTAATTGTTTAACTGCGGTACACTTGTGATTACTGTTCTACCATAGCACTACTAATTGTGAGTTATATTGAGAACTCTGTCTGTTTACTGTAACGGAAAACCCTAACGAAGGCACCCACTCAGCGGACAATACACTGATTCGTATTCATTTTCGTATCCCGTCTTCTTTTTTTTATTAGCCGATTCGCAATTACTCGCTTTCCACGTACATTCGCAATTTTTTCATATTTCTTTTGCGATGAATATATTTTTTTTATTTTTTCGTTCAACACCGAATAAATGGACTCGGTTTTTCACCTCGGACACGCATACGGGGGGTTGATCAGGTTCAGGTTGAAAGAAACGCATTCTCCTGAACGGAAATATGAAGAATATTTTGAAAAGAGTATCGTCTCATCACGGAGATCACGCGATACGATCGTGCCAAGTCGAGTCTAATCGATAGGTATCTTCGTATTCGCATGATCTGTCCGTGATGAGACAGCGCGATGGGTCCGCACGCTCGTCGTTGTCGACCATTGACAATTGTCGATATAGATGGTTTGGGATCATGGCAGTCGCTACTTCTTCACGACTTCGATCGATCATAAGGTTTAGAGTCTCTGGATTCTCTCCTTTTCCGATGTTATCCTACCGTCTTGCTCTTTCCTTTTCCCTTCCGCTTGGTGTAGCCGAGATAAAGATCCATATTTTCCCTACACACGCTTAGCGCCAAACGCGACATTCGACTTTCGTTCCCTTTTTACCGGCATATTAAATGTCGTTCTCTTGTTAAGAGACGAGAAGAAAAATCGGAGAGTCGCATTTAACGTGAAAAATGTGGCGAGAATATGAATCGGAGAGTAAAATTTTGTTTTCCAAATACTTTATTTAGACGCCAAATTCCCGTGTCGGATTGTCTCGGCTACCTCGATCGTTTCGATCTGCCAGGAACCTCGTAATTTTGATGGAAATGCCGAAATGTTCGCGGTCGTTAAAATCTTGCTCTCGCGCGTTTTTTCCCCGTTGACTCGCCGCCGTCATCTCTCTCGAAGTTTTCTCGCTGGGGCCAGGACGAACGCGATAATGCGAGGTCGAGTCGACTCGCCGAACGCCGGAGCCCATCGCCTTAACAACTATGGCTCTTTCATTTTATATAGTGGACATTGAAACAACTTATTCCGGTTTTTAATCACGGAGGCTCGGTCAGAGACACCGCGTGAAAACGCGAATGCCGCCGAGGCGCTCGCACTGCTAGACTGTCGGTTTTATCATATGCTGCGCACTTACGATACACACTGCCACGAATAATATGCACATACGTCGTACGTCGTGCCGTGTTGCCCCCATAAATATTGCCGCGTAAGCACTTTGCTGCTCCGCTGCAAATCTTTGCGGCGGGCGCGCGCGCGCGCGCGCGATCGTACGTCATATATATTCGTCGTGAGATTATTTCATTAAAAAATTAAAACCCGATCAAAAACAAACCAACGGTTTTTGCTTGTAAAGCCGCACTCGAACAACGGCCCTTATGCAATTGCCGCTGCCACATTCCTCTTGGTTGTGTGTGTTCCTTATGTGATTATTACACCTTTCGTGATTGCATCTCGTGGAACAGGGGTCTCTCCCGGTGGCATCCAAGGTGCCTTTTTCTCACTTTCTCTCTCTCTCTCTCTTTTTCTCTTTCGATCAAAGGGAACACGAACTTTGTTCGTTACTTCGTCTATTGCTCCTCGCGCTTCTCTCCTCTCGAGATATATACATACGTGTATATCTCTCTCTCTTTGTCTCGCTTCTCTCGTCGACTCTCGTTGACGAGATTCTTTGGCACCTCGCCACCTGTCCGTCGTCGGGATTCGTAGCCCGACGAAGAGGCCGCCCACACGTCACATCCGGGTACTCTCGTGTCAAGTCCGGGATGCGTTTTGGGCGTGCGCACTCGCGCTAATCTCGCACGAGCGTGCACGCTCCGTTCATCATCGGTACTGCATCCAAACGTATGCCAAAGGCCGCGAATTTTGCTCCGTTTATACATTACATTGTATTGAGAGCACAAACGCGTGTGCTGTCGTGTCATCCACAAAATTTTTATTTTTCAAATTACCATGAGAAATCGATCAACGTTTTTCAACGACGCCCGAAATGACGCGTCTCCGTCTGAAAAGCGCGCCATCTCCCTCTCTTTATCGAGAGAGGTCCGGGAAGCTTTTTCGAGACGAATCGGCGTTATTTGCATGACGCGCGTGAAAATATATTATTACACGAGGCCGAATCGTAGCTTTTTAAAAATCCTTTTTTGGGCAATTTACAAAATTAATTGGCTTTACATATCCGTAGCGTGTGTAATTATAGTGTAGACAAGTGTGCTTTTGTGTAGAAAATAGTGTAGAACTGTATCTTGTATACGTGTGTGTGAGCGCGTCTCGCGCTCGTGTATTGAAATATGTTTGAGCGCGCGGGGTTGCACGCTCGTGAACCAGGGCAACTTTGCTTTGATCTGTGTCATCGGGACGCGCGACGCGGATCGCGCGCCGTTCATCTTGTGCGGGTGTCCTGTTTGCGTTGGTTTCTGTCGCTGTTGTACATTGTATTTGTTCCTTGGCGAGAATACCAATTTTACCGCGGCCGTGCGCGCGCTCAGGCACGCGCGGATCCGCGGATTTTGCGTTTGATTCGTGAAGATCGAGTCGTATTTGTGAGTGTGTATGCGCTGGGAGTATGCACCAGCGCATCCGGGCTATGGCACTTTTTAGATTATTTAAACATTTAGCAAATTTACATGAAAGAGATTAAGATTATGGTTAGGGCCGATTTTGCAGGCGACGTCGCGCTATGGATTTTCATCATTGTATATATATATATATACCTTTTCGTATATATATATATGTATATATTTCTTATTAAATCATCCCTGGGCCCCTTCTCGACTACTTGGGTCGCGTTTCCACGAGTGGGCTACGGTCGGGAGCGCTTTTTGTATCTTCGGATCGTCCGTGACGTCTGTCGGGGTTTCCTTCTCCGGATTTTCCCGTCGTTAGACGCACGTGAGCCTCTGTCCTTTTTTCTCTTTCCTCGTCCCTCCGTCGCGGTTCGACCGCTTCTACTTCATCCTTGTCTTTGCGCGGCTCGCCGCGTCTCTCGCGACGAAAACGGACGATCCAATCGCTCGCGATCTCCTCTCACGATGTCTCTCGCGCTCCTCGAGCGCTTCTTCCGCTTTATGCGAGCTGGTTCTTTGCGTCGCGACTCGCGAACGCTCTCGTTGCGTGTGCGTGTCCCGCCGTCTCCTCTCCTTCATCGCCGTCGTAGGGCCCGAAAATCTCACGCGGGCGGACGCGTTTGCGCCACCGGCCCTCTTACGAGTTACGGGCATATGTAAATCAATATATTTGTAAATTATTTTTTTTGTGCTTTTTCCGCGGTGTGACCCGCTTTTTTTTATTATTATTATCTTGTCTTTATCTTCGCTTACGTCTCAGTTGATTACAGAACATACACTACTAGATCTATTGTTTAACGCGCTTGTGTGTGTTTTTTTTTTGCATTATCTTTCGTTTAAATTTAAAATTATGATACACGTTCGCGGGGCACGGGCCGGCGCCTTGGGAATTCTTCCTTCTCGCGCGAGATGTGCATTTTAATTGGCGATCGGAAAAAGATTGAGAACCATCCCGTCCCGATCTTTTATGTCGCTTCGTTAATTAAAAAAAGCAACCCTCGGCGCACGGCAGGATGCACCGGTAGAAAACAGCCGTCTATCAATCGTTTCATGACCGCGATCATCATGAAGGATCTCGACGTGGTAGTGGTGGTAGTGTTTTGTATTTTGTTGTTGTTGTTTTATTAAAAATTTTTTGTGATGGTGATAGTGAGATGGTAAGTAGTAACGCTGATCTCTCTTTTCATCCTTTCTTGCTTCATTCTTTCGCGCTCTTACTACCGTTTCATGCATCATTCTCGATACCTCTCGACGCTCGTGATTAGAGACCGTGAAATAAAAATTGCATTCTTTGAAAATTGTTATAGATTGGAATTCGTTTCGAATATTTTGCAATTTCCAACGAGAATTTTGCTACGGTCGCGCGATACGTGCCTAAACAGCTTTGCCTAACTAAGCTCTCTTCATCCACTCCATCGTTTCACTCTTCAAACTCACAATTATCGGTTTTATTTTCATTCGATTTTTTTACGCTGAAATTTAGAAATTTTGCATTTTCTTTTTTATCTCAGATTTTTTCTAATTCTTTCATTCTTAATTTTCTGCAGTACGCTACATCTCGTAAAAGAAGCGCTTCAAACTTTCGCTATACTAACTCGTCCTAATCGTGTCTGATTATTTGTGACTTTTGTGTTTTTCAAAAAAACAAGATTATATTATTTAATGAAAACTTTCCGAAAAATTGGTCTCTACGATGTTATGTGGGCGTCAAAGTGTACGAAGATTGCATTTTAGGTATTTCGTGTGTTCCCATCGTAACTGTACAATCCATCGCAATGCCGTATGATGTGAGTGTCTGTGTGTAAGTGTATTAATGTGTCAGAGTATCGGTGTCGAGAAAAAAAAAAGAATTTCCCGATCGGTGATGTCCCAGACAGACGGTGAACACTTCCGCGCGTGATCCTTCCTTGAGATGTTAAATCTGCTTTTCTGAATAGGAATATCGAACAGACGGAAGCAATCGCCGATCATCAGGGACACGCACCGATAACGAACAGAAGCTCTGGTTTGATAAGAAACGATTATCGTTGGTTGCGTGAACGAGGTGTATGCACTCGTCCAGCTTTAGGTATTTACATAGAAACTAACCCTATTTCGCATTATGTACGTTCGTTTAAGTTTACCAGTAAATTCTCAGTTTATGCTTGTGATATCAAGGTGTATTTACATACTACATAATCCGAGGAAAAAACGCCCTGTAACGCAAAAACTTTAATAATAACGATCAATGAATCGACCCGCGGTTGCGATCCCCGGAACTCGAGGGAGGCCCTCTGTTAAAGTATTTTCTTTCTCGCGAAAATAAAGGTAAATCCAAAGATTTTAATAAAGATTATAAATTTTCCGAATTGATTTTGTGCGAATAATCGATCTCAATAATAATAAAGACGTTTTCGAGAGTCACAAATTTTTCGAAAACATATCGGACGTGCCCGTCGAGTTCCGATCGCGAGACGAGTGCGATCGTTAATGTAGCTTTGACGATGAATCCTTTAGCAATCTTTCCTTCTCTCGTCCCAGATGGTCAAAAAGCCTGGCTATCCGGCGGCTTTTCGGCGCGTGTTTTTTACGTTCAACGAAGATGACGACGTTAGGTTACTTTCGTAATTTCGGCGAACAAAGGGATTTGAAAGAGGGACTATGAATAGGAGAATTGAGAGTATTTAAAAAAATATTTTGAAGAGTTTTTTTTGGAAAATGCCATTTCCACATAAAGACACAACGAGAGAAAAATTTTACTATTTATATTCGTAGGCGAAATTTTATTTCAAACAAAATTTCAATTTTTTTTTAAATATAGTAATGGGAAGAGAAGGGGGATTTTTTGGTAAAAAGCAAGGATCAAATAGTGCCGGAGTGTTTTTCAAAATCGAGTCGGTCAAAAACGAAAGATTTCGTCGAGAATTTTCGGATGAAAACAACAACAACAACAACAACAGTAACGCGGTCGATGTTGATGTCCAGAAATGTGAAAAAATTCGACACGCTATCATTCAATTCCGCATTCTATCAATCCGCGATTGCCAGTCGAAGAAATGAAGAAATCGAATCGTATCGTAGGTGAATGCTCATCAAATCGAGTTTCCAATATTTTTTATCTTCTTCTTTTTATTTTTCTTTTTTTTTTTTTGAATCACCTGTCTATTTCCGTCGGTTTTGTTTTCTTTTGAGAATCCGCGTTTCCGTTATTCTATGTCGAAAAATGATTTTCAATCAAATGTCAAACATATTTCTCTCCAGTCAGCGTCTCGTCTGGTCTCTCATCGAAAGATAACTCCATCGAAAGTACGGACGATCCGTAAGTTTTGTCAAAAGTTCGAAGAGATGGGGAAAGGTGAAGGAAAATTTGGTGGATTTAGATTGATGGGAACGCGTAAAGGGGGAACGTTTTTTCAGGAGGGCAAGGCCGAGTCTCTAAAAGTTCGCTCCACGATCAAACCTACGAGTTTTGTTTTTTCATATTCTTCCTCTCCCTCGTCATCCTCATCTTCGTATCGTATTTTTTTTTGTTTGTTCTTTTTGTTCATCCACCTTCTTTATTTCTATTCGTCTTCTTCTTATTCTTCTTCATCCTAAGTATTGCGAGAACGTAACGGTATATTGCAAGTAAAAGTTCAAAACGACGCAAGAAGTTTTACGCGTTTTAGATTATATTACCCGGAAATAAAAAAATATTTCGCTTATAACGATCACAGGACCTCAGATTACCTGAAGCACGCCATTCTAAAATCTCACTCTCATCCTCGCATTCGCTCTTCCTTGATGCTCACGAAGCATTCACGTTCATTCAATCTGTTCATCCGTTCGATGGCGCGCCCGCGCATTTACGCTGATCCCAAGGTCGTTCATTCGTAAAATCATTCACATATTCCTTCTTTCTCTCTCTCTCTTTCTCTCTCTCTCTCTCGCTCTCTCAATTTCGTTCGCTCTTTTTCGCACACGTCTTCTCCTCGCGCTCTTCGTTTTTCTCCGAGTTGTCACATTCTCTCATCGACAATGCTTGAGATCACGTAAAACTTACGGGGGCGCGCGCTCCGCATTCACTCATATTTCCCTTTCGCCTAACTATCCTAGTCTCATAGACCCTATATATTCATTATTTATAATATTTATATATATAATATATATATATAATATTTAGCATTTAGTTTTTTTATTTCTCTCTTCTCCGTCGCGTGTTTTGCTCACGAAAAGTGCTTGCTCTTTCACGCTTACCGTATTTTCTTCAATTAAACGTGTAAGTGTGAAGGGTTTCGCCCGATTTTTTTGTCTGTGTCATACTCTCTTTCTCTCTTCATACTCTGTATGTATATATAATATATATAATATAACTGTTTGTAATAACTATATTTTGTTTGTTCGCTTATGAGCTAATAGTTTTCGTGCTACCGACGAGCACAAGTTGCGCGCATTATATCTTCACCTTAAAAGTGTGCTGCTGATGAGTTTTAATCTATATATATATATATATTTATATATGTGTGTGTGAGTTGTATTGTACATATGTGTATCTCTGTGTGTATTTCCGTGTGTGTTTTGGCGTGTGTGTGCGTACGTATCTGTTTCAACGCGTGTACGTCCGACGACGTTCGTTTCTCGAGCGCGAAATGTCAACGTCCCTTTGTCGTCGTGGCGCGAAACGTTGCTCGCAGGTGAGGGAACGTCCGTACGGATCGCGTTGGGTCCGTCTGTCACACACACGGGGAAGGGGATTTCAGTACGTATATAATTAACAACCGTACAACACGGCGACACGGCACCACCGGTGATGGTGAAATGTCCACCGCGACCGCGCGACGCACACTAAGATGACGATGAGCCTTCGTACGTGGGTGTTGCGGTGGTGTGTAATTTGCTTTAAGCATTACGGGAGTTTTCTTCTAAGATTAGGGGTTGAAGGAGTGGAACCTTTTAAGCGCGGTTCGGTAGAGATAGACGTATCTATGTATAATATTTATATAGTAGTTTAGATTTGTTGAGCCCGGCCATACGGGACGGTCGAGGATCGCCCGTTGGATCCTCGATAACCGTCGCGTATCGCTTGATCGGCTCTTGTACTAAAAAGATCATAGTACCTCGGGGTGCATCCCGGGACAGGACGCCCGGGATGGCTTACTGTTTTTTTACTTCAGCAGCTTCTCGTTAGTTATTATGGCACGTTTCGGAAGTCGAGGCGGCGGTACGGCGGTGGCGACGTGTCCTGAGAATCTTGACGAAACACTCCGACGTGAATAACGCCGTCGTAGATCCGTTCGGAAGATTCTTGATCCAGGACCGGTGTAGGAACAACGACGCGCGAATATCGCGCGGGAATTACGCGGAAATCGCGAGAAACGGCCATCGCCACCGCGATCCTTCCGCCTCGCGCCGTGCAACGGATTGCTATACGCATACGTATTCTCACTCTCCTCTTAGCACAGTCCCATCCGGAGAGTTCGTCGGCCGAGAGAGACGGATGTCCTCTCGGTCGGTTTCCGGTTGGTCCGGCCATGTCGGTTCTATCCGAGTAGGAAGACACCGAATTACACATTTTCCCTCCAAGTCTTTTTGTTTGCTCGACATTTTCTTACTGCTGAGACAATGAGCGAAAATCTAGTGACCGCACTTGGGCGCTCGAGTAAATCACGTCGGCGATAACGATAACGTCATCGTTATCTGTAACCGAATGTGATTGCTCTTACGCGTTTTCGGAGTTACCGATCATTTCGTCGGCTTTTCTCTTGACGCCACGGTCTTCAAGCTGCTGCTGCTGTTGTTGTTGTGATTGCTGCTGCTGATGATGACCGATGGAAGACGGACCTTGCTGCTGCTGCTGTTGTTGTTGATCGTGCAGCGACGTCGAGCGCTCTGTCGACGATTGCGATTGTTGTTGATTCATGCGCTCGTTTTGTTGCAGGGCCATCTGATCCGGCGCCCAAGGGGTCCACTCGTCTCAGTAGTAACTGAATTTTCAGGGTTGCTGATTGCTCTGCTGATTGACGACATGTTGAGCCAGAGTGAAGCTCAGGGCACGCGGATCACCGTGGAGCCTAAGAGCCTGTTCTAATCGCTGCTCTTGTAGCCGCAACGCTTCTCCTGAAAGTTGTTGAGTACCGATGGCCCCGTTAGAAGCTTTCATCATGTAACTTATTAAGAGCGTGCTCGATGTGCTTAGATTCGAACACTGCAATTACATCAGTAGTATGTCACTGATTCTCGTTACAGACTTACCGAGATCCGGCGTTAGGGTATCCTGTTGAGACATTTGTTGATTCGTATGATGTCCCGGCATGCCGGAAGTGCTACCTCCATTATGTTGTCCTAAATGATGCCTCACATCGCCGCCCACCGCGGAACTTGCTGCGGCTGCCGCCGCTTGAGATACCTTTAAAAAAATGTGAGAAAGGGTTGAAAGATGCAAGAAGACTAAATATTCAGTCTTTATCTCGAATTATTTTTTCACAAAAGATTAAGAGTACATGAATTGTATGTATTTCTCTCAAAATTTTTTTCCCAATATTTATAAGTGTGAGATACTCAAAATGATAATGACTGTATTGAGCTGTGCGCACATTTTATAACTACGTTATCTGTAAAAAGAACAAGCTTTTCCTTTTCTTACCGCGAGTCTAAGAGCAGCTTCGGCTTGGGAACGGAGCAAAGCTTCCGCCTGATGCATTCTCAGAGCTTGCTCTGGCCCGCTCGCTTGCACCCCTTGCTGTTGGGGTCCCGTCGATCCTTGAGTACTGCCGCTCATGTCACCGTTATTGCCCATTCTCATGGCCGCCGCAAGCGACGCCATGTCAACCGGTGACAGGTTGGGTGACACGGAATTTTGCAATCCTAACAGAGATATTATTTTCACACTTCGCTTAATCCTTAAGAATAAGAAAATTATCGTTAAGAAAATAAGATACTATATTTTCAAATTCTTTAACAAAGTACATATATATTATTATTATTGTATTTTTTTAAATTAGAAAATAATGTGTTTCAGAATCTTGAACTATTATGATGAAATTATGACCTGTGGAACTCGGCGAGAGATGCTCGCAAATGCATCCCAGGCTAACTTTGCGAAAAGAGGGAAATGTGGTAAGTAATTTTCTGATATTTATTTTTCCTATTAGTATAATCGTTCCTTGGAATTTCTCGATAAGTTTCTTGACAAGCTACAACGAATATTCGCGAAAAAGCTATACGCGATAAATTTGACCAAATTAATCCACGCTAATATCTTACGAGATGCCGACACAGTTTCGTTTTTATATGCATTATTTCTATCAACAATTATAAATGTACGGTCGAAAATAAAAGTTATGTCGAAAATATTTGAACGCATCAATCATTTCGCGTTTCTTTCGGAGGCAGACGACAAAAAAACAGACGCGAATGCAACATCGTCATCAGCGGAGAAACAACATTGTAAATCAAGTTTTATCGGCAATAATTGGAACGAAGCTATCGGTCTTCCCCTCTCGTGCAATTTCGCATTGATAAGTGATAACGCAGTGTCCTTGGACACTTGATTCTCAATCGACCGATTCTCGTTAGATTAATACAGCTGATAGGCCCGCACATATTTGCTGGTTGAGGAAGGGAGGGGAAGGTTTATATGATTTTATTATATTATTATTTATATTCTCTTACCCGCTGACACGGCGGCTGCCATGACAGCCATACGTTGTTGCTGCGACTGCATCTCGTCGTGGTACTGCTGCGCCGAGCCCGGTTGGCTACCCGCTCGTAACATCTCGCTAAGCTTGTTGCCGCTCGGTCCCGGCGATGCCATGTTGTTGTTGTTGTTATTGTTATTGTTGTTCAGTAGACCGGTGCCTGCGCAAAAATCTGCTCTCGTCAGTATGTACAGGGCAATGAGCGGGCGGGATTTTTTGCGCATGTTTTACTAGCCTAGCAAGGTAGTATATATATGTATTTTCGCGTCGGTACATCGACATATAAATCGACACGCTAAAGCGTTAGAAAGAGAGGCGTCATTACGCCCGTGAAAAAGTAGACCGTAGCGAGCGCCGTTCACATGAGAGAATTATTACTCAGACCAGAAATTCGTATGCATTTTATTTCGACTCAAATATATATATATATATATATATTATATATTCATATATGTGTAAATATATATATATGTAACTTATGCGTACTACAATAAATTCACACTAATGTACTTCACACAACAGAGTTTTGTCATTAACGAAATCAGGGAAAAAAAGATAAATCGACGAATAACGGCGAGATTACAAACTGTGGTCGAGCAAAAAACTTCGGCAACATTATATCTATTATATCTAGATACTCGGTGGGCGATCGTTTGTAAGTAGTAGACGTAGAACAAGTATCGTAGCGTACCAGGTTCACTACCGGCCGACGACAGTCTTCCGTTGCCGCTACTGCTGTCCGAATGGGCCGACGGCGACGGGCACATTGGTGGTTGTTGTAAGTTTTGCGGTCCTCCGGACTGACTTCCGCCCAACACGCCCAAACCCGCTCCTGTACAAGTGCAAGGACGTCGTGTTAGAATGCATATCGGCGGTTACAGGCGTTGTACACTTTTTTTTTAGCGCCGCGACGCCGCACATTTTTAACGTTAAAACATAGAAAATTCGTGTCTATCTAATATGATACCTAAACTCGAGCTCGCGAGGATCTCTCTCTCCCGCCTTTCGGCGGCCGCGCGGCTTAGCACATACTGCGCCGCGAATTGATGCTTCGGGTCCATCCTCATATGCTCCATGTGGCTCAGGAGACCTTAGAACATCAGAGAAAACGAGCGTGGTCACAGTACAAGGAGAGGATCGCACTACCGTATGTAGATGGTACACAAGATAAATGTATAATTGTCGGTGTATAAATGTACGTTATATAAGTCCGAAGAACGAAAATCAAAAGTTTATAGCATAGAAAGGAACTGAGAAACGGATTTATTATCAAGTTTGCGCGGCAATTCGAGCGATTCGCGTTTACGTGGGTTAAATACTTACCGCTCTCGTGAGTGAAGACGGCTTGGCACACCGAGCACGGCCACATCCTGAGGCTCGTGCTAAGCTGACTGGTCTCAGGATGGCAGGCTAGATGCTTCCTAAGGCTACCCTCGTTGACGTAGTGCTTCCCGCACACTGGGCACGGGTGGTTGGCGGTCCGTCGCTTCGCTAGGTAAACCCCGGCAACGGAGGTTGTGCAGTCAGCGGAGGGAACAACAGGGCGACACAATTTCAAGGTCAATGCCAAGCAGGATAAAGCGTCCCAAGGAACGAAAGCCGTTCTCCTCCTCACCAAACTCCTCCACCACCATTATCATCATCATATTTTCCTCTCATTCTTCTCTCTTTCTTTCTTTCTCTCTCTCTCTCCCTCTCTCTCTCTCTCTCTCACATTCTCGCTCTTTTTTTCCTCCCCCACCTCATATTTCTCACTCGCGTGAACGCGCGCGTATACGTACGCATAGATTCCGGTCGACCTCGAAGGCGAAGGGAGACCTTACGGACGCGGATAACCAAGGACCAGGAGAGCACTGACCTGGGACACGCAGAGGTATCCACGTCGTCATCGCGCTACTAGCTCCCTTTCACGAGCAAGGTCACCGGCCTCAAAAGCCAAGACGTACTCGCGCGCGTTGCACGTACGCGGACGCACAGAGAAAAAAAATGGAGATTCTCTCAAAAAGATGTAATCGCTTATATAACCGAAATGGCTGCTATACCAATCTGAAATCAACTATGAGAAGATGTTATCCGTTAGATTCCAGTCCTGTCAATCTTTGCTCCAACTCCTTGCGCTATAAATAACGATAATGCAACATTACATTCTCAACACGTATTGGCAGCGTTTCGCAATAGGATCCGCAATCCACCAGCAATCCATGTTTCAATGCCGACCATGTCGTTTTATCAAAGACCACCATGGCGCTAGTCACAATCGCAAGGAGACAATTCCTCGTGTTTAAGTTGAACGAAGAGACACACAGATTGACTCTTTTGTTCTCTGTACGTCCACGAGTCCGCACACGTATCACGCACGCATATATCAAGGCACGCGTAGAGGTCGAACGAGACACCCTCGAAGCACCGTCTATATGTATATATATATATTAGCGAGTATAATACCCAAGTATTAGTCGGCGAGTATGTGCCAAATGCTACACGCCTTTCCCGCCCAGGCGAAAACAGTACGAAGAAGTGAACAAGGACAATGTATGCGTATCGCCCGCGCCAAAGCAAGTTCTTGGGATGGATGCGAAACGTAACTTAAAGGCTAAAGAACGAACCACCCCTCGTGTCTCGACGAGTGGTTGTTCCACCTCTCTCTTAGCCTTACTCACAATAACGTCACCCCTCTCGCTTCTATGTCTCTCTTCTCTCTCTCTCTCTCTTTCTCGATACCTTTCAGAGATTCCTCCTCGCGATTCTGGTTAAAGAATCTTTATTTCTGCTTAAGAATCCAGGTTAAATGTGCGATTAGAGCGAGAAGAGCTGAATCCTTCGCTCGGAAAGTTAACATGCGAGAAAGATTAGATGTTAAGTTCGTTGATTAGTTAAGTCGTAAGAAACGACGCGGTCAAGGTCTCATTCTCAAGCAATCCGTTTCATGCAATGATGCATTCCGCTACAGCGAGATTCCGAGTTAATCGATCGGTTATGGTTCGCGAAGATTAGTAGACGCGCGAACAAAGGGAAGTACGAGAAAGCAAACGCGCGCAGGGAAGAAGAGAGAGACATAGACGACCGGCCGAGAGGGCCGTTCGGTACGCGATTTTTCAATACTTACTGGCAACTCCGGAGGCGTTCGGGTCCTTGTGGGTGTGCTTCATGTGCTCCATCAGCGCCTCGCCGCCGAGGAAAAGCTTGTGGCATACTGGACAGCTGGTTGCGTTCGGGCCGCCGATCAGGGCGGCGTGTTGCTGGAACACAACACGCTGTTGCAACTCCTTTTTTGCGGGCCCGGAAGAAGAAGTACCGGAAGTAGCAGGCACACGCGGCGCACCGGTAGTAGAGAGCCGACCCAGAGAATACCACCACAGAGTTGCGAACCAGAAGCGCAGGACAGGCAGGGCACAGAACAGAACGATTGACCAGTGAGAGTTAAGGCACCAATAAACCGCCGCCACCACAGACTACTCTTTTGCACAGGGAATTCGTGTCGAGTGTGTCTGGTAGGAACTTTGTGGTATCGCGCCTTAGCTGGGTTTTTAGTCGGTCAAAGTCGATCGAAACAAAAATCGAAATAATAAAAATGAAAGAAAAAAAAGATACGAAATTTTGTTTCTCGAAATACATCGATTATTTTTTTTTTTTTTTATTACTGATTCACTTTTTGCCGCAATTTATTCATTTGCTTATCGAGCGAAAACCTATCTTTTTATATTATTTTTCCTTCTCAAATTTATTTCTAACATATGTTGCATTTATTAAAATATATTAATTATTGTATTAAAGATGAATTACTTTGTACGGTTCGCGAATGGTTAGATTGCGGCCAGTGAATCGTCGATGAAGATCATTGAAAAGATATATAGCTAGCTCTTGGATCATTACGAGGGATAAGGTAAAAAGTAGGAATAAGGTAAAAATTTCGATATTATTGAAATTACATTCGTAATATCCAAATATATCGCTTGAAAGGAATATCGTGCTCACTCTTGTCAACATTTGTTTGTTACTAATTCTGATATTTCGTTTTGAAATTTTATAATCTCGATGTAAAAGCAGAGATGTAAGAAGAGTTTTGATCGATCAAAAATATTGTTTTTACCGTCAAAATAGAGCACTCGATTGTAGGATGGAGAAGGAAGGGAGATAGCGAACGGGAAACTCGAAGCAAAGCCTAGACAGACAAATATGTGGAAGCGTGAGGTCCGGGGAACGATCGGAGTGGATTAATCCGTAACCGCGATTAGGGATTTCGTCGATTAAATGTTGCCGGCATCGGCCTCGCCTCGCGTATGAACGTACGAACCTAAAGGCTGATGCCAGACGTTACGTCGCGAAAACAAAGCGACCACTTTCGTCGACCTTGGACCTCCGATCGACCCCACACGACCTCACCCATGAACGGGAATGCGAAGCATGGAATGACTATAGCTTGTACCATACATCAATTTTAACTACTATGGCCGTTGCTAGCACATTCTCGGCTCGCGTCTCTGTACTCCTTTTATCTTATACTTTGCATGTATTAACATTAAACGAGATTTATCTCGCGGCTCTTCGTCTTTGAGTCTATTGCCCTACCAACGGCCATATTAATCATATTTAAAATGAAACTATGAATGAAATTCGACGTCCTCAATGCCAGATAGAATGTTTTTTTCTTTCTTCACTCTCTGGCTTATCGCGCGATAAAAGACCGATCGCATTATCCTCGTCATTTTTTCCATCTCTCTTGCGTCTCCCCGTCATTCTTTTTTCTTCTTCTCTTTCTTTATTCGAACACGCGAAGGTTACTTGCACGCATACAAGGCGGTAGATGCACACGGGCTCGAGCAAAAACATGGCGGCGATCGTACTTGCTTGAAAGAGTGCTTAAAACGGCAGCAGGAAAGAAAAAAAAAAAAAGAAAAAAAGACGCGAAAGAAGGAGAAGTGAACGGGCTAAAACGAGACCGGATGGCAATGACCTCGAAGAGTTTCGGGGTCCCCTGTTTCTCTTTTCCTTCCTGTTCTCAGATTCGCGACTTCGTCTTCTTTTTCTCATACTTTTTCGCCTCTCTTTCCTCTCGTCACCCTCTTGCATTCCACGCCCTGGATCTTCCTGCACCGATCGTTCTTCTTTTTATCCCGGACCTGGGACAATCGCGAACGCGTTGAGGCAACATATACGAGTAAAGAGAAAAAAAAAATACCGACACGAATGACGCATTCGATTCGAATTTTTTTTCATCGCACACTTTTCTCTCGTTCTTCATTATCGGCATGATTATCCACATTCTTAAACGCAGACATATTTTTGCACATTCGCTTTTATAAACTGCTTCTTCTCATCTCGTGATAAATTCTCTTCATAAATATATATGCTTATCTAAAGCCTCTTCGTAGCCTTTCCGCTTTTCTCAACATTTTTTTAATGATCAGATGTCAAATGGCGGCGCGATTCTGATTTTTTATCGATCTTCCCCGCTTGTAAATAAGTGAATCGGCATGCTAAATAGACTAAAGAGAGCCTACAGAAAGATAGTGGTCGAACAATGACCGTCCCATCGCTTACACTTAGTCGTTTTCCTTCCGGTTTTCTTCTCTCGGCTCTTCTCGCATCTCATCGCGTTCACGCGCATATTTCTTCTCCTTGGCTTGGCTCCACTCGTGTCCCGCGATAAACTCAAGAGAGTGGGTGGCCGCGACCGCCGGCATACTTATGCCTTCTATCTCCTTTTTTATCCCGAACCTGGGGCAGCCGCGTACGCGTTGAGAAGACGACGACGAGGACGGCGTCGCTGCTGCATGCAAGTTATTCTCAGAGGGAAGCTGCGGTCCCTAGGTTCGACGCCCCGACCTGGCCCAACTGGAAAAAACCGGTTTCTTCGTCGCGCTCTTCCTTTTTTGCTTGCATCCTCGCTTTTTGCGCCGCGCGAGTGCCTCGACTCCTCTCTGACGCTCTTTCTCTTCTTCTCGTCCCGTTCGCCACGGTCATACCTCTTTCGTCTCTTTCTCTTTTCTTATCTTTCTTTCTCCTTCTTTATCTCGCTCTTTCTTTCTTATTCTCAGCTTATTCTCTCTCTAACTCGTTCGAGAGAGTGGACGGCGTGGGCGAATCCCTGAGGGACTTTATGATCCACCGTGACCAGATTCATCTCTCTCTCGCGAGGCTGTATGCTAGGCGCAATTCGCTGCACGCCGCTCTCTCGCTACCAATCCCAATTCCATACTTCCTAGTCCCTCTAAGAGTCTCTGCGTGTATCTGTCAGGGTCGCCGGTTTTCTCTACCCGGCGCTTGGATCTTCACTTCGATAGAAATATACAGAGAAGCGATCTCGAACGGCGAAAACGAGAGCTATAATTGGTTCCGCACACGTTCTTTGTTTCTGCTTTAAAATACTCGAGTCGCAATCGAAGGTGAGGAAAGTATGGAAGAGAGACATTTGCAATATTTCATCATTTTCCCCGAGAACTATGGTCAGAATATTGAAATATCGAAGGCGCATGTGCGCTACAATTATTCTAACAATTTATAAATAATAGTATTTATATAATTTCGGTTTTTCGATGGTTAAATAAATATTTAGTAGCGCCGATATCGTGGACATCTATTGGATAACACGAGAATGAATATAACGATCAGCGAAGCGACGTTCCCATCCAGTTATATTATAATATTAATAATATTTTTAATGCCGTTTCGTAAATAATTAGATCCCGCGACGAGAAATAGCATTCTATGCTTTTCCGATTAAGCAGTGATAATTATAAACTGTCAGATCAAAATTCATTCGCTCGGCCGACATGATCACGCCAACCTCTAGGATTTTTTCGCACTCTCTCCCGGCGATTGGTTCCTCAATTTTTCCGACGATCTCGATTGTAGATTATCCGTTCCTTGAGGCCCGACGCTCGGGGCCCGGGTCAGGGAGTGGCGTAAAAAGGAAGTGGGTGTGAGCACATGCGTAGCGATGCGTAACGTCGGCCGCGATGTAGCCATTTTGTGTTCATAGAGACGGGATCATCTTTGATCGAGGGCTAAGATCTCGTTAGCGAGACGATCTCATTAGAACAAATCGAGATGGAGATTTTTTTACGCAAGTGTATGTAATCAATAATAATATCATCCGTGATTTGCGACATCCAAATATACATGGCGTATCTTATAATCCCATCATAAAGTGTCAATAGCATATTATGGTGATTAATTAGAAAATTCTTGATGTTAAAATATCGAGGTAAAAATCATTTTCAAGTTAGAATCGACCTATCGTCTGCGGTTGATTATTACAGTTCAGGTAATATCGCTCTGATTTCGTCTTTTAACTTTTACATTTCAAATGAAATAATAAATCTAAATTTGAAAGATAAGATTTATATTTGTTTTGATCAGAAGATGTGGAGAAATTAGTATATTGTTATTTATGGCTAAATTTTTAAATTTTAAAAGATGTGAAATTTGTACAATTATAATAAAATCAATTATATGTAGAAAAAAAAATTATAATAAAATTATAATAAAAAATAAAATTGATCGTGCTATATTTTGTTTCGCGCCAATTTCATTTTTGATTTATTAGAATTATAATTTTATTCATGTTTGAAATTTTTATAACATATTTTTGGATCATATCTTAATTTGCGATTAACTCGATTCTTATAATAGCATCGTATCGTATAGTCTCAGAATGAAATTGCTAACATTTTTTTTATGTAGCATAGCAACATATTTTATTAATAAACATATTTATTTAATAAGCTTATTTATATATAAGCATATTCGTTATATAACTATATTAATCTTATATTTTAATATTTGTCTGCAATATAGCAAATTCGGTGTTTGTACATCAGTGATTTGTTAAAATGAGTACTTTACGAGATTTATTCGATAGAAGTCGCACGAGCAAAGTCAACCATATTTTCGGATATCGCAAATATATATAAATTTTAATTCATATATTTATTTACACATTTATGTAATAATGCAATAGTTTAAGCACACGAGCTTGTAGTACTTGTATAATTCAATTAAGTAAAGAATTTCTTTTGCTGTTCGAGATTTATTCGTTGCGAAACATCGCGTGGATCATAATTTCACATAATCATATTTTTTTGCGTTATTCTTTCGTCGAAATATAATCAAGTGTGTAATGTGTAATATCTAGAATGCTATATAAAATATGCTATATGAAATTGTATCCTAATAATTAGTGCGCACAATCTATACGTATTTTCATGAATGAGTATCATATTAACATAAAGAAAAACGAAAAAATAGAAAAAGTACAATTTTGTTAGAATAGTATGTTTAATTTGGAGCTTTTTAATCTTCTTTATGTCTTTTTAGAATGAATGAATGAATTAATTATAACCTAGTGTACAAGAAAAAGACAAATATTCACCGATATTTTATAAATATCTATATAATATATATATATCTAATTTATTTATTTTAACGAACAAACTATACACTCTCTAAGAATTATTAATTATATTTATTTTTCTATAACGCATCAATATACTCCGTTTTATTCTTTCATAATATACTTTTTTTATTGACGAGCCGATATTACCCAAACTGTAAAAATCAATAATAGATGGCTAGTTTTAACTCGAACATTTTATCGTGATCTTCATATTTTTCGATTTTTTTAAATCTCTAAAATATGCTATTTAGTATGATGATTATGCGATATATTGATAAAATAATATTCTTCTTTATTCGTTCATCGTCATCTATTTTTCTTAAATTTTGCCATTTCTCTGATGATTTTGCGAGCGTTACAATTAAAAATTGTCATTTAAATAATAGACAACGTGTGTTCGTTTTTCTCTCTTTTCTTTGAGCGACGATAAAATCCGAAGGCCGTTTGCGAGCGGCGCGCAATTCTTTTCTCCCGCCCTCCGTCGTTTCTTCTTTTCTTTTTTTCTTCGCCGCCGCCGTCTTTCCTTGGCTTTTTTAACCGCGACGAGGCCGCGAGACTCGCCGGCAGACAACCTTCGGTACGATACTTCGGTTGCTCCAACGGCTCGCGGAATCCGCGAAGAGATATTCACCGGCTTGCTCATCTCCTTTTCCCTCTCGTCCGAAAGAAGGAGCTCGCTATGGCTCACTTACTTGCGCGAACGTTATTTTCTCGAGACGAGAACGCTTTGTCTCCCGATAAGGAAGACACCAGAAATTTCTGATTCCTTTTCTCCATCCGCGACTGACTTATAACTTTCGGAGCATTCGGACGAACGACGAGAAGAACAAATAACGCGAAAGTCCAAGGATGTATAAAAGATATCGATTGGATGTATAAAGTACCTCTGAGAAAATTCATTCATTTTCCTTTTTTATTCAAGTATAATTTTATCGCAACTAGAAAATATAATTCTATTCAGCAATTAAATAGTTATATTGATTTTCTCTTCATCTCTCTTCACGTTCCAATGTTTCTTTTTTCGGCGCGAAAAAAAATATACCGGCGACATATATGCGATCGATAGAAATTAATATGCGTCGTTAGACACCCCGCGACTCGTTCTTCATCGTCATCCCGTGTTATTAATCCATTTCCAAGAGTCGCGCGCTGATAATTCGTGTGTAACACGCTCATGAAAATCGGTCGCTGGCGAATGATGCGAGGCAAGAATAAGGGAGAAAAAAAGCGAGTCTAACGTCACGAGGGTTGTCGACGGAGCACCCTCCGTGTTGTGCCAATAGGAGACTCGGATCTGTCACGAACGCATTCAACTAGGCGAACGAAAAAAAGGAGCGCGAAGGGCGGTCGGTACAATGGGGTGCAAATCCCACCCTATCGGAAATGCCACGGGAATGATTTCATTAGTGTCTGCGCTGCTGATCGAGCATACAGAAAAAAATAAAGAGAGGGAGAGAGCCATAGAGGCGGGGTAAAAAATTAATGTTGCGGGGTGAGAGAAAAGAGGAAAATCGTGCCCTCAAAGGGCACGATCGAAAAATGGACTCGAGAAAATGAAGATTACATGAGGAAAAAAATAACTCTAAATGTAAAACTACTCGAAATGTTGTGAAAATTGCGACGCGCAAATGTTGAAGTATTATTTTCTAAAAGCGATATGTATTAAAAGAGATATTATTTAAAATACGTGTATTATGTGAGAAAAATCAAGATAAATGAAAATTACTATGGGGAAAGATATCGACCGGAAAAATCATGAGACGGTATAAGATTTTGTAAAAGCGATTCGATTTACGTTTTGCCGCGAAAGGCCGTCCCACTTTTCTATTTTAATGCCGCAAAAGAGACAAAGAGTGAAAAGTCCTCCTGGAGATTCGCCAGCCGGTGATGTTTACCAAAAGAGAAAGGGAGAGAGAGAAGGAGAAAGAAAGAGAGAAAGAAAGAGAGTGAAAGGCCGTATTGAGAATTCGAGACAGGGACGAAAAAGGAATTTGGAGAGTAGAGTGTGAATCTTGCCTAATTAGAAGAGTGGTGCCCGAAATTAAGAAGCGGTAATTAGCCGCGATCGACGGGCATAAATGCTCGTCATATATGACTCTTCGGTGATACATCATCATACATCTCCATGACTGTCGCAATTTATGACTGCTGAGACACGAAACAATACTGAATTGCGTACTCATGATCGTGACATAGGAAGAAAAAGGAACAAGAGCCGGCTTATAATCGTTTCACAATCTTCGCGACATGAGATCAATTAGGCAGCGATTCTATCTACAACATAATTTTACGCGACGCGTCGTTAATTAAATAGATAACATTTATCAGATGCACAAAAAATGCGAGGCGTCAACATAATTTCCCGCGTTACAACGTTATTATAATTTCACGCGTTTCGAGAAAACCACGTAACGGGCAACACAATGCATACATGTATTATAAATGTATGTCTGTGTTTATGCATGTATATGTGTTTGTCTTGCGCGAATAGATTATTATAATGAAAATTGGAAACCGCAATTTTACACGTGCGACGAACGCGCACGTAAACGCGCCGCGAAACGAGTTGAAATTACAGTCGAAAGGAATTCCCATGGGCTCTCCCATATATTGACCCGATCGTTTTACCTTTAATCGTTGCCATGGGTACTTCGAACACTGCGACAAAGAGACCAGCATGAAATAGAGATCAATCTGAATTAATGCGATACCATTAAATCGTCAGTCATAGGTTTAGATTTTCAAGAGTATTCATATACCGATCGTGTATGCACGCTCTCGCGCAAGGAATTAAAAAAAAAACCCTGCGTGTAAATATCGCGGGCATGGTAATTAATTAGCGCCCCGTGTCGGCGAAAATACAACGCGAAAAGCGGTTGAAAACCTCCCTCGCTCCCTCTCTTCCCGGACAAACAACGGATTTACATTTATTACAGGCGATCAATCCGCGACGAGCGACGATGGTGCGTGTAAAAAAAGGAAAAAAAATCTGGCATCAAAACGAGATACACAATCACCGCGCGGTTTTTCGTGCAGCAAGGGGAGAGGGATAAAACCCCTTGGCGAGCGAAAATAAATCTAATGGCTAACGAGTTTTTACCGAGCCGCGCGTCGGGGCAATTAAGAAGAGGGGCGGGGGAGGGTTCTGAGAGGGATGACGGGAAGGCTCCGGAGGTGAGTCGGAAGAAGGTCGAAAGGTACGCGAGGAAGGTCCACGAGGCGGGAGTAAAGAGGGTTGTATCGTGTTGCACGACATTCATCCCTTGTGTGTACCGTTAAACTACAGATAGATACGAAGACTGCGCGCCACGTGAAAGTGGCTGAGAACCACGAGACCGGAGAAAGAAAGAGAGCGAAGAGATAGAGAGAGAAAGAGAAAGAAATAGAGGGAGAGAGAGAGAGAGAGAGAGATCAGGGCCGGTTGAATTTGCAAAACTCTTGGCGACTCGTTAATTTTGCTTTCTAATTTATAGGCGAATTCACATCCCATTTTTCTCTCTCTCTCTCTTTTCTCTCTTTCTTTTTCAAAATTATTCGGACGAATCTTCCGAAGCAAAAATCTCGTGGCAAAGATAAAGGAGAAAATTCATTCGCGAGAAGTGTATTAGACGAGATTGAGCGAGATTATATAGCTTGATTAACGAGAAGGAAATTTCGATGCGGAGACACATTCTCTCGTCGATCGGCCATGCGGGATTTAGGATCGTGGGCGTATTAACCGGAGACATATCGCGGCGGTGTATCGTCGCGATGATCCGTCCCTGTTCCGAGCCGAGCGGGAAGAGGGTAACAGTTAATAGGATACATGGAGAAAGGAGGAGGAAGAGGAAGAGGTGGTGTGTAGGTACCATAGACGAGTTTCTATGCCCGGGCTACCGATCGTTCTCTATAATACATTTACGCTCCGGCCTATTATAATATTGTACTCCGGGTGTATTGTCTTTCTTAGAGCGGGATAATGTTTCGCCGACACGCCAGACCTCGACCTGGAGCGTAACTCTTTCATTTCCCCTCACTCTCCGCCGTATTTCCGTGAGTCGTTTCTCTTTCCTCCTCGCTTTCTCTGCGTCTCGAGCTCTCTCATATTTCGGTTGCGCTTCTCTCTTTTTTCTTGTCTTTTTCCTTTTTTTTTTTTTAACAACGATCCATTAGCTATCGGAGTAGTAGCTGGCGCGAGGGAAACGGTCCGGCTAGGCGCGGTCTGGAAATAGCGAAAACAATTTCAAGAAATCTGCCCCGGCGAAAATTCGATTAGCCGCGGAAGATGGGCTCGAGCTCTCCATTTGTTTCGTTTCGTTTTATTTCCAGCGGGCGTACTCTGTTTCTGTCGCGCTCGCGCCGGCGGCTTTTAATTACTTCGCCGCGCTCTCTTCGTAAGATCCTCTCTCTCTTTCTCTCTTTCTCTCAGCGTTCTTCTTTCATTTTTTCTTCTTCTTCCCTATTTCTTCCCGTAGCTTTTTTCCATTTCATTTAGCGAGCTACAACATATATTCTGATATTTTTGCCAACAAGCCTGAACAATGCGGCCGTTTTCGCTTGATGTATACGGTTTGTACTCGATGCATATATTTCGTATTAATATTTAATTTCGTTGCATTGATCTCGCGCGCGTAAGTTTACCATCCAGGAGTAATATCGCAAGGGGCGAACCCTACTACTGGAAAATTTATCAAGGCTCGTTCGTTATTCCAACAAATGAAGGATTAAATAATTTCATTGTAAAAAACATTTTCATTATTGCGAGGATTACCGCGCGGCGTGTGAGAAACAGCGGTAATGGGGTCGTCATTACGTCGGTTCATTCTTCGTAACTGTACATTTGAAAAAAAAAAAAAAGGATAGTCGGGCAGGATTTTGTTGGTAAGGCCAGGGGCCGTCGACGTGACTTCACGGCAGATTTATCGAGGTCGTGAGGGAAACGACGGAAGGGGATAATCTGAAAGCTTTAGACGTGGATTAGGTTTCAATTAGAGGAGGCCGATAAGCCGGGTGTTAAAAGAACGATATTTATTACCGGGGCATCCCCAACGTGTGAACGGATTAAACACGCGTGAGGCTAGACGCGCCGCACCTGATTCCGCGATTCAAACCACTCGAAAAATGAAAATAATCTACATTCTAAATATGTATGTTCGATCACTCGTTATCAGCATTTAATTCCCAAGAACTTCACGACATAATGTTGTCATTTATACTTTACGATTAAGACAGAATTATTATTAGAAGCGCTATTTTACGAACTGTTATATAATGCAGCCGGCATAATTGAGAACGAACGAGACTCGATGTCTTTTCTCTGCGAGAAAACGGAGGAAGAGAAAAGGAGAAGATGCACGAAGGAGCGGAAAAAGAGCCTCACGGACGGGCCGACAGATGCCTTCCCACGTTTTTTCGTTGAGACATGTGCCCGGCGCGTAAAGCGAAAGGGTTGAGAAATTCAGTTGCCGGTCGGGTGGGGCGGTGGCGATAAAAAAACTGCCCCACGATACAAGATTCCGCTGGTAATCGCTACGCGCCGCGATTCTACGCGAGCGAGGGGTGAATTCGATTAACGCGCAAGGGGGTCGCGGTCTTTTTCCCGAATCAAAACGAGCGCGTTACTTTTTTTGTCTTTTTTTTTAAACCTCTGGCCCTCTAATAACCGGTCGGTGACACGCACCCTTGGCCATCGTGGAGCCCGTACGTGTGTAAACAACGATTGTTCATTCATGATTCGTATGAGAAAATCCAGCGTCGTTCATGACGTGCCGTATTAAAGGGCTTTTCATCCCTCGTGACATCTTTGTTCATCAAATTTCCGTCGAGGATATCATTTATTCGTCACGACCAATGTCTTCAGGTTCGATTTCGACGTGTTTCAGTGATTTAAAAATCGCTGAAATATATATTTCTGTGAATTCTCTCGGATGATAATTTCTTTATGATTTTCTCGGATTGTGTAACGTCGATTTATGATAAGCGTCGTATGATAATCCAGAGGCAAAAGCAAACCCAAGCAATCTGCGAAGAATCCCAGGGGAACCATCAAAAGCCACTCACGATTTGTTATTGATAAAATAAATACGCTATTTATATACAATAGGAAAAACTACAAATCATGGCGCGGTTATTTAGGTTGATGAATCTGAATGTTTTATTCTCTCAAGCTTGACGTTTGCCGGTTTTAAGTTCGACATGTCGGCCGCATCTCCGGCAACTATTTCAACTTGCTTGAGACACATCGATTATATAGGGAGCCCTCGAAACGGAACAAAGGAAACGGCGGATACACAAAGAGCGCTTAAACGGGAATCCATCTACAGAGAATATCGAGACAAGCGTGAACCCACCACCACCATATGCGTGCGTACGAGTAACTGAACGTGTCGCGCGAGAAAGAGTTAATGCAAGATTATCGTCGTTAGAGGAGCGATTAGCGAAAGTATTTACGCGTGATTGTCGAAAAAGATCGATATCGATCGATCTCTTCCTCCTTCCATTTAGTCTCGACCCCTTCGGTTAATATACCGGCACCGCGTGAATTTTTTTTAGCGAATTTTTGCGAATTTGGACGTCGGATTTGGTACATACATGACTGACCTTCGACGTGTGAGTACGGAGGCTGGACTCCGTGGCAAAGCCCTTGCCGCAGATGTTGCAGTGGAACGGCCGGTTCTTCGCCCGCTCCACCTGAGCGTCGTGATTCCTCAGGTGTTGCTGCAAATTCGACAGTTGGATGAAGGCCCGCCCGCAGTCCGGTAAATGGCACTTGTACGGTCGTTCACCTGCGATCAGATATCGTAAGGCGTATTAGAATTTCGTGCGGCTGTGCACGAGCGTACGTAAATTGTGTTACGGTCGACGGTGGTGCACGTAACGGTAGCGTACACGCTCGATCGGGAAATTCGCATTGGACATGCCACAATTTTCCTAAAATTCTTTCTAAAATTTCGCAATTTTTCAGCCCCTCATCGAAAGACGAAAAGAAATTATTTTAGTTTATTTGAGATTAAAATAATTTTGCAAAAGTTATTGGAACTCTTGAAAGATTTTCACGAGAGACTAACTTTTCGCGTCTCGATATATCGTCCTATTAGGCTGATTTATACTCGTATAATAATCTTAGTATTTTTCTATTATTCGCAGTCATGTGAAAAGTATTATTAATATTCCTAAGCCGTTTATACCGTTTACTTTGATTGGCGTGTAAAAGTGGGTATCATCTTCCTAACGTATCGTATATTCAATATCAACTTTGTCCTCGCGGTCTGCGCGACGAAGATTGATGAAGAGATTGAAACGTCATTAATGACTCGTTTGTCAGCTCGCCAAGTATGTCTCTCTCATTCCCTCAGTTCGCTTTTAAAAGGAAAAACGCGCTTAAAAGGAAGTGAATTGGCTGGTCAGTGACTCTCGGCTTTTTTTCCAGGGCTTTTTTTTTTACACGGGCATGCAACAGGTTTCTACATCTACATCGAAGAGTAGGAAGAGAAAAACGTCGCATTTTTCTCCCTTTCGTACCGCGGGCAGGAAGGCACGAATGGCCTCGACGAAAATGCGTAAATTTCAAGCGGAATTAACACGCAAGTTATTTTCTATACGTAAATTCGCAAAGTCGTTCATTGCACGATCCTAAGAAAATTTCCGTTTGTATCGAGATATATAAGAATATTTAAGCGCCTCTGCCGCCTGCTCCCGCGTAATAATGATAGAGTAATATGTAGCTTCCTCGATTGTTTAATCGCGTCGATCGATCGGCATTCGAGAGGCAGACTTCAGCTGCCGCTGCGTTTTTATTGCGTTTTTTTCCTCTCCACGACCTCCTCTCGCCGTTCGTTTCGAGTGGACTCGATTCTAATTCCTACAAGCGATTGGCTTAATTTAACTTTTATTAATATCGACATTCTTCCCCAATCCTTTTTACCCCAGGCACTTGTTCCTTCTGCTTTCTCACTCTATCTCTCTCCTATCTCTCAGTCCTTCCGCAGGATTCATCTTTTATTCAGTCGCGTGATTCATTGGAGAATTTCATCGTATTCGATTTAATAAAAATAACTCGAGCGAGCAAAATTAGATTCTACAATCTTTTATTGCGTGCTGACATTTAGAACTTCCGCGAGCATAAACAAAACGCGATTGAGATACGCGAAATGCATTTCTTTGCAACATGTATATTTCTTTTTACGAGGAAGGATAAACGATACAAGTAGTTGGATTTTAGAGTGATGCCGGTATGGTGCTGGCAAGTCTGTTATTAGAAAGCGATTCCTTGGAGAAAATGATCGAGTTCTAATCGCTCGTATTTATTTCCCACATGAAATAATTGCAAAGGCAGAAGACGCCCTTGCGTTTGCAAAGGTTTTCATATAAAATGAAATATACGTCAATTAATACGTCAACTCATTTATCATCAAGATTTGCATTTACACATGTACTCATGCAAATTCTATCTTATATTTATCTGGAATGTATGATCAACAAATAAAACTGCAATAATTACTAATTATTTCCTTGAGAAATTAGCTAAAGGAAACAAGACAGTGTCCTTGTATACAAAACAATATTTTGTTGCGCGTGGTTAAAGCTTCTTTCTTGTTTTTTTTTGCTTGGACAAAAATTATTTAACTGTGATCTGGAGTTCAAGAAGAAATAATATTAGAAAAAAAGCATTAGTGGAATTTTTATAAAGGGTCGCACGGTTCTTTTTCCTCCCTCATCCGCGTGACCGTATGTTTTCTGTCGCGCTACAATTAAAAACGTATTAATATATACCGGCTATATATCAACAGTAGTATCGGGGGAAAGTCTAGTGGTTTCTTATTGTCGGCACTTATAATTGACGGTTGAAACATTTATTTGTAGAACGATGAACTCGCCCACGTGTACGCTCGCACATATGTATGTAATATTCACCTTTTTTGTGTGCGCTTAGCGCTACCGGAAACAGCGACTGTGGAACAAACGTGGCGAGAGGGTTAACACACCTCTCTCTTTCTTAGCTCATAAAAGGAAAATAATGACATAGAACGAACATTGTAAACACCGGCCGGTTATCCGTTTCTATGAAAGCAGTCAATTTTCCAGCACTATTATAGGACGCTGCTCTGACACCAATGCATTCGCGATAATAAAAAAAGAATATGCGTCGATGTGTATAATGTTGGTGGTATTTCAAGCGTGCAGTCGGTATTCATTTTTATTACCTTGTTATTGTTTAATCGACCGTGCTAAGATATTAATCCGTAAATGTATAGTGGTAAACGTCATTTATACATGTTATATAAACATCATGAACCGACTTCTTATCAAGATTCCATATTGATTCGATTATGATTCGAATGCGACAAAACAATTGACCGTTAATGATCGAGGATTTATTGGATTTAATTTTTATTAAATCGGGAACATCCCATTTTTTTTGAATAATTAAATAATTTTTCATTGTATAATATAATGGCTTCTCCCATTTGTAATAATAATTCGCGTGGCCTCGCGCGGAGAGAGCTGCGAAGAGTTATGATTAAATTTAAAATCTCGCGTGCGAAACGAAAGGACAAGAGATAGAGCAACGAAGGGGAGAGGGAAGAGGGCTCGAGGTTGCCTGGTCGAAGGGTCTAATCCTGACTCTTTGAAATCCTTTGTCGAGTGTAAGAATTGCGAATTGTGAAAGAACTTTTGATGAATCGATACACTTTGCCAAGCATCCATTCAGCGAAAATTTTTTATTTTTTTTTTTATTTCTTTTAAAAATTGTATTTTATAATTAAACAAGTATTTCAATGTATCTTCATACAAAATGCAAAAGAGATTCTACTAAACAATAATTATTGATTATGCGAAAAGTTATATAATTTCAATCTATATATAACTTTGTTATAATAACACAGTTATGATTTGAAAAAATGATTAATCACGTATTTTTCTTAATATCTCGCGTTTTAATATTTCTCGAAATATCGCTCGAAATATCTGCATAACATAGGTAAAATATAATATAATATTTGCCACCACGTATGTATGTATTTTCGTACGAGCCATAAATTCTATCCGTCATTTCGGGGCCCGGACAATTTCAATTTTATTCCATTAAAAATCGTGATCATTGTTGCACGAATGAATTTATCGCGCCAGACATTCTACACGAATTTCAACATTTAATTTTGACGTACGGTTACTACCCCCGAGCTCTCTCTCTCTCTCTCTCTCTTTCTCTTTCCCTCTGACCGTTTGGCCTGCCTGCCTCTCTCAGCCAACACCCTGATATCCTCCTCTCGTTCTCTGTTTTTCTCTCTTTCTCTTTCTCTCTCTCGCACTGCTGTTCTTCCTCCAATGCGTTGCGGCGTTGGCGCAAATCATTTTCGGAATATCAAACACCTCTGACAGAACATTCAATGATTTCCCACCCTGTTCGCCCTTTCGCCGCGCAGCGACCCTTTAACGCCGATCGCAGTTGCAACTCTTTTCGCGAGATCTCGCGTTCGCCAGCCATTACCGCTGGCCGACCGCGAGATTTTCGACGCTTTTTTTTCCGCGACGCCGATACATCTCGCCGCTCCACTCATCAAAATCACCGGGCTCGCGAAAGTATGTAGAAAACTCGGCAAAAGCTCGCACGTGGTTGGACGTGTGAGCACGAAACAGGCCGTGGAACCGCCACCTCCCTCCTTTCCACCTTTCCACCACCTCGACGTCGGTCTGACCGGTGGTGTGTGCTGGTCGGTCGCACCCGCATACCCATACCGGGTAGATGTTATATACCGGATGGATGGCCACCCAACTCCCTCGCGCGCTCGACCACCCCTTCCGCAGCCCGCGGCCCGGCACGGCCCTGCCGCGCGCGCGGCCCACTACACGTCCACGGCAGAAAATTAATGTCCCCTGCAATCCATGTATAATGCATTCGCATTTCGTTCAACGAACAAATGAACGCACCGCTAGAAAATTTACGCCCCATCTCGCTGCCGGCGCGAGCGTCTTTTCTCTTGTTTCGAGTCCTCCGTCTCTCTCTTTTTCCTTTCATTTCCTCCCCTCTCTCTCTCTTTCTCTCTCTCTTTCTCTTTCTTTCTTTCTTTCTCTCTCGTCTCAATCTCTCTCTATATCTATTCTCTTTCTCTCTATCCATCCCTTGCACAGGAATTCGCGAACGGAAACGCGCCGGCCCTGACCAACTCGCGGCCGCGCTCGATCGTTCTCTCTTCCGGCCGCGCGTTTCTCCATCTCTCTCTTCCCCCTGTACCCCACTCCATATCCGACCCTCTCCTATTCCTTTTCCCCTCGCCCCGCACTCCCGGCGTCATCGAAATTCCGGCTGGAAATCATTAAATTGCACGCACTCACACGCACGTGCGTTGTTCGCACTGATGACCCTCTCTCCTGGCGAACCCCCTTTACCTCGACCCCCGGCTCTTTCGCTCTTGCGACCTTCTATGACACTCGTCCAGCAATCCACACGAGTGATACATACCTCGAATTTTGGTATGTGAGGGACGCTGATAGTGGCGAATATGTACTGTTTCCCCGAAAAAATTGACGATGACAGCGATGGCGCGCGAAAGGCGGCGAACAAATTTACGCAAATATCGAGAGCGACGCAATATTTCATGCTTTCTTTTAGTGTACGCGAGAAAACGATTCATTTTTTTCAGTTTAAAGGCAGACAAATGACATGTTAGATTCTTCAAAATTACGAATCTCAATTCAATTATAAATAAAAGAAAGACATATAGAAAAAGAAAGTAAGAGAGAGAGAAAAAGAAGTAATTGAAGATTATAGTTCGAACTATAC